TCCCCACAGCCTCCCAAACTGCACAACTCCTCATTAAACATGTTTTCAGACTACATGGAATCCCACAGGAGATCCTGTCGGACCGCGGCCCCCAGTTCACTTCTCAAGTTTGGAGAGAGTTCTGCTCTGCTCTCGGAGCCAAAATCAGTTTAACATCGGGTTATCACCCTCAATCTAATGGGCAAGCCGAGAGACTAAATCAAGAACTCGAATCTACCCTGAGGTGTTTCACATCCACCAATCCGGCGGATTGGAGCCAGTTTCTGCCCTGGGTTGAGTACGCGCACAACACACATACCTCTGCAGCTACAGGCTTTTCGCCATTCGAAGTCTCTTTAGGTTATCAACCCCCACTTCTCCCGTCTGATGAGGAAGAGATTGCTGTCACTTCTGTTCAGCACCACATTCGCCGCTGCAGAAACGTCTGGAGAAGAACTGTTTCTGCCCTTAACCGCACCGCTGAACAGAATCGCCGTTACGCTGACCAGAAAAGGAGACCTGCACCGCAGTACATCCCGGACAAAAGGTTTGGCTTTCGGCTCGAGATATTCCCCTGAAATCTATGTCGAGGAAACTCTCACCCAGGTTTATAGGTCCATACGAGATTGAATCTGTGCTCAGCCCCACCACTGTCCGTCTCCGTCTGCCGTCTTCTCTGCGTATTCACCCGACTTTCCATGTCTCCCAACTGAAACCTGTCCTTACCAGTGCCCTGTGCCCTCCTTCCGAGCCCCCTCCTCCCGCCCGGGACATTGATGGGCACCCGGCCTTCACTGTTCGCCGGGTCGTGGCCTCCCGTCGGCGAGGTCGCGGGTGGCAATACCTCGTCGATTGGGAGGGCTACGGCCCGGAGGAGCGCTCTTGGGTGCCCGGTTCGTTTATCCTGGATCCGACTCTCATTTCTGACTTTCGATCGTCTCTCCCTTCTGGTTCTGCCGGGCTGCCAGGTGGCGGCCGTTGAGGAGGGGGTACTGTCGGGTGTTGGAGTTAGGCTGGGTGGGGAACCTTTTCTTTCCCACCAGATGGAGCCAGAGGGTGGCAGTCGTTGGAGGGTGGATCCCGCGCACCTGTGCGTAATCAGGTGGAGGGGTCCGGCATAAGAAGAGCGGGCAGGCGGTTCTCCAGCGCTTGAGTGTTATCCTTCAATGGTACTCAGAGCCCCCTCTGAACCTGGTGTCGGTGTTGTTGTGCGTGTTTGCAAGCAACTAGAGACTATTCTAAAATTTCTCTCTCACAGGATTATCTCCCGCGGAGCCGCGGAGAAGTTCTTCCTGAGACCGTGAAGCCTGATCCAAGAACTGCCGAGACTGGCCGAGACCCGCTCTTTACCTGCCTGCCCTCCAACGGCAAACCCATCTGACGCCAACCCTCGGATCTGGACCGGACCCCTCCACCTGTCAGTCACTCCCCCCCTCCTCCCAGCGGAGACCACATCCATACCAGTAAGCCCGTTCCTGTACTCTGTTGATTTTTTCCGTATTATTTCACTTACCTCATCTCTCACCGTATTTAGCACGGAGACGACCCTCACCCAAGACCCCCCTCCGAGACACATCGCAGAATTTCTATTTATTTTTGTTCCAATAAACTTATTTCATTTTTCCAAATCGCTTCTCCTTGTTTGTGCGCCTGCATGTGGGTCAGGCGTGTTGCTTCAAATATGACAATTTCTTTCTGCACGTCTATTTTGTTATAGGAAAGTATAACAATATTCAAACCCACAATTTAGCTAAATATGTAAATCAGAGCAGCAGACATATTTTGTCTTTACAGAATTGCACTGTTAAAAATAGAAACAAGGGCACAATGGAACCTTTTAGTGACTGTAATCTATAGAAAAGGAAACTTCTGCCTGGTTTGCTGTATTTGCTGTGGGGATGAAGACGGTCCATTCAGAAATGCAGAGCTGCATCAAACTTTCATGTGGAACTGCAGAAAAAAACCAAAAGCAAAAATGTAATTAATGCATGTCACTATGAGAAAAGCTGACTCTATTTGTGTCTTAGTGTATTTTGTCAGTACCTATATACATTTTCTTTGATCTTTCCTCTTCTTTTCTTCCTCATTGTCTCGTCTTCTCTGTGTTGAGTGAAGAAGTCTTATTTATTTTGGTCTCTTGCCTTTCTTTCCCCCCAAACTGAATCTAGGATTATTATCCAAAATTTAACTGTTTAAAAACAAATGTCCAACTTTTAAGCATTTTTGCTATTTTTGTTCTCTTGTGTTCATAGCAGCAGTTTTCTGTTGGTCATGTGTTGAAAAATGTTAATAACCTCACTGTGAATGATTGGCACATCTTTCTCGATTGCCAAAGGAAAGAAGGTCTGACGACCGATCCTCCTTGCATGAGCTGCGTAGTTTTGTTTTCACGAGCTTCAGTTTTGAGAAGCAACGCTCAACAGTCGCTGTAGATCCTGGTAATGTGGCATATTAATAGTGCTGTCATGCTGGGAAACACTAGAGCAGCATTGTTTTCTTTGATGACAGACAGCATTGATCACACCGTGAAAGATGGAAAGTCCAAATTTGATCTGTGAAAAACCTTCAGCTCTGTCTGCAATTTTTCTTGGTCATCAATTTCATAAAACTGACAGAGCATCTTTAGAACTTGAAGTGCTTTTGGAGGAACTGTTGCATTGGTCCATTTTTCTGAGAGTAAGGCAGTGGAGGGCATTTAATATTTCCCAGGTAGCATCATTATCTCCTCCCTTAAGCTGTTTCTGAAGCTCTTGTGTAATGAGTCAACAAAAACATGATATACCTGCAGCATTCATCAAGGTACAGAAAACGAGGTCATCAGAAGCGCCTGTACCAACCACAAAAAACTTTGCTGGCACTTTCCTCTTTCTTCTGTGTCCACTGACTTCTTCAGGGGGTTTGAGCCCCTGCGGTACTGGTTCTGACCCAGTTGGTCAACAATCCACTACCTTTGGCTGCTTCTAGCAGATCTTTTCTTTTTTGTTTCTGACATCTCTCTTTACTTGGCATCTTTGAACTGAGGTGCTCAAGCCCCGTCTGTCCCCCCCACCCCCCACACGTGCCTGATTGATTGATATGTGTTGATCTCACAAAGCTGAACGAGTCTGTTTGCAGAGAGAAGTATATTCTTCCTTCCATCCATCCATCCATTTTCTGAGCACCTTTCTCCCTAACGGGGTGGGGAGGTGCTGGTGCCTATCTTCAGCTGCGTTCCGGGCGAGAGGCGGGGTCACCCTGGACAGGTCGCCAGTCTGTCACAGATATTCTTCCTTCTGTAGATGAAACGCTCAGTAAGCTAGCAGGAGCAAAAATTTTCAGTAAATTAGATGCTAATATGGGGTTCTGGCAGATTCCTTTAACTGAAGCTACTGCAAAATATACAACTTTCATTACACCTTTTGGATATTATTTTAAAACGGCTACCCTTCGGTTTAGCTTCTGCCCTGAGCATTTCCAGAACAAAATGGTAACAAGAGGTTACAGAGGGACTAGATGGTGTAGTGTCCCACATGGATGATGTGTTAGTATGGGGGAGAACACAGGAGGAGAATGATGATCATCTCAATACCGTTTTTGCAAAGATTCAAGAAGCCGGTATTCCACTGAACATTGATAAATGTGATCTTTCAAAGCAGAGTGTAACATTTTTGAGCCACATTATCTCCGTTAATGGAGTTAGTCCTAATCCAAATAAAACAGAAGCTGTGAGAAAGATGAAAAAAAAAATGTGAGTGAACTAAGATGCTTTCTTGGAATGGTTAACCAGCTGGGGAAGTTTATTCCACAATTAGCAGAGCAAGACAAGCCTTTGAGGGATCTTTTGTGAAAGAAAAACTGTTGGATATGGGGAGTTGATCAGGCCAGAGCATTTAAAGAACTGAAAGAGATGCTTTCATCCCTGCCAGTGTTTTTTTTTTATTGAATTTTCTCTTTTTTGACACAACAAATTTACAAATAACAAACTTAACATTGTAACATGTTAGTTTTTCCAGTCTGAGCGAATTTGCAATTTCTTTCTTCCAGAGTCCCAGGGAGGGGCCGTCCATGCTCATCCAGTGTAACGCAATAGATCTTCTGGCTTGAAGAAGTCTGGAGTCTATCAGTTTAGTTTTTATCTGTGATTGTTTAAATTCCACTGGGTATATTCCTAGAACACAGATTTTGACCCCCAATGGGACTTTCACCTTAAACAATTCAGATAGACACCCAATAACATCCCTTTAATACTTCTGAATCTTAAGATGTTCCCACAAACAATAGACAAAAGTTCCTTTTTCAAACAAGTATCTGGAAAATCACTGGACATATGATGAAGCCTAACTGGTGTTATATAGGTTTTGATAAGCCATTTAAATTGCAAAAGTTTAAATCTTGTGTTTATCGTTTGTTTTTGTGCTTTTAAACAGGCCTGATTCCAGTCCTGTCCCTGCCAGTGTTATGTATGTGTGATACTAACCTGGAATGTAAAGTTTCAGCAGATGCGTCAGCTTTTGGTGTGGGAAGTGTGCTGCTTTCCTCGCCTGTATTCCCTCAGTTCAGACTGGTTTTACTGATAGGAATAAGATTACTTCATTTAGAAGTTTTTACTTTTTCTTTGGGTTCGATGGGACTGTGAATAACATGGTGAAAAAATAATGTTGAAAAATTAGTTATCTTATTTATTTAGTTAAATACGAGAACTAAATAAGTTCTCTTATGACTAACTGATCTTATTTAATAAGAGAACTTATTTAGTTCTTTCATGACTAAATAAGCGAAATTATTGATTTTAACTTTTAACCAGCTCTCTATATAAATGTCTGTAGCGGTTTGGTGACCAATCAATGGATTAAAACCGAGGTTAAAAGTAGGTCCAAAAGGCACACTACTTTTGCTTCTTTTCTCTCCATAGTCGCTTTGCTACGTTGATGTATGAATGACAATGCAACTGGTCGTCCGGATGAACTAAAATATGACTGGCGCAGGATCAGGCGCTAGACCGCACCCTGCCTTCTTGTGGCGCATGTGCGAAGGCAGCATTTCCGGGTACGACATGTAATATGAAGAGGCTGGTGTACTAGTGAGGCATCGTTAGAACGCATAAAAAAACCCCAATGATTCCTATATGTCCAGTGGTCTCCTTCACCTATGGTGAGTATCATTAAAAGCTTGGACATTATTTCGGCTGTTTTCTTCTGACCTTTGGTTGTTCAAAGCTACTGAGCATGACGAATAAACAAGCTAATGGCTAGTCCTTGAAATGCGCTCATCAGAGCCTGCTGTGTCTGTCCTCTGCAGTGCCCAGCCGGCTTGGTGAAGATGCCAAAATGGCTACCGGCAATTATTTCGGATTTACGCATGGCGCCGCAGCTCAGTACAGGTAAGGAACTTGTACATTTTTAGCTGTTTGACACCAGCACACCTGTTTGTAGTATTAACTACATGATTTATGTAACCTGGGTGATTTATCCCCAGTGCTGCCATTGTTCCAACTGGGGGAGGGGGCGCTTGTCCTTCTGCGAATTTGGATGAAAGCCAAAGTTGAGATTTGAATTGTACTCTACGTTAACTAATATATTGCACCCTCCGATTGAATCCAAAATGCATGTTTCCAGGCCAGAGACTAAATAAACCGGAGAGTCCCGTTTATATAGCTGTTAATTATAGGAGGTAATGCATTTTATTTTCACACGAAAACATTCATTTATGTTGTCAAAACAAATTTGATCTTAGCTTTGTCTGACATGCATAGCTGTCAATAGGAATCCAGCTCATCAAAACATGTTAGAGTGAAGGATCTGGCTCTGCAAACAGCATCCTGATAAAAATGAATTGCATCTGTATGAGAACATCTCACAAAAGGAAATGTTCTCATACAGATGAGAACATCTAAAACCCAATTCTGCAAAAGTGCAAAGCTTTTAATAATGCTTAGTTAAAAATTAAGAAGGTGATGGAAAAAGGTCTGGACTAGTTTCCAAAGTTTTACATTAAAACCATATTCAAAATAATTTTAAAAAAGTGGTCATTTCTGAGAAGAAGGACAGAACATTTCTGTTGGATGAAGCGCAAAATTTGAATACAGTATACACAAATCAGTAAAATGATTTCTTCAAATAACTGAAGAAATTAAGCTGGGGAATGTCAGCATAATGGTGTTCGATAAATATTCCTTATTTTAAACTATGTAGTAGGTGAATGGCGTCTGTAAAAGCCCTCATCATACTTGAATACACAAGCTTGTGGGTTAATTACAATTTATTTGGGAAAGTCTGAACCCATTCTGTTTTTTATCTCTAGACTCAATCATAGATATTACCATTAAATGTTGAACATACTTTTTTAGTGTGTAGAATAAGTGTTGGTTCAGCTTGAAGAGTGTGATTACAACATCTCACAAAAGATGTAATAATCTTAAAAACAGCAACTGAATATTTTGCCTTAATACATTTTCTCCGGGTCAAGTGGAGGAGGAGTTCAAGTATCTCAGGATCTTGCTCACAAATGGGGAAGAAGAGAGTGGGAGATCAACAAGTGGATTGGTGCAGCGTCCGCCATGAAGCGGGCGCTGTACCGGTCCGTTGTGGTGAAGAGAGAGCTGAGTCAAAAAGCGAAGCTCTCGATTTACCAGTCGATCTACGTTCCCAGCCTCATCTATGGTCATGAGCTTTGGGTAATGACCGAAAGAACGAGATCACAGATACAAGCGGCCGAAATGGGTTTTCTCCATAGGGTGGCTGGGCTCTCCCTTAGAAATAGGGTGAGAAGCTCGGACATCAGGGAGGGACTCAGAGTGGAGCTGCTGCTCCTCCACATCGAGAGGAGCCAGTTGAGGCTCGGGCATCTGGTCAGGATGCCTCCTGGATGCCTCCCTGGTGAGGTTTTTCGGGCACGTCCCACCGGGAGGAGGCCCCGGGGAAGACCCAGGACACGCTGGAGGGACTACGTCTCTCGGCTGGCTTGGGAACGCCTCGGGATTCCCCCGGAGGAGCTGGAGGAAGTGGCTAAGGAGAGGGAAGTCTGGGCCTCCCTTCTTAAGCTGCTACACCCGCGACCCGATCTCGGATAAGCGGCAGAAGATGGATGGATGAAGAAAATAGTAATGCACAGTGATTTGGACGTGTTAACCCCTACGCCACTACAGAACACCCCAGAAGACGACGACGACAACATTTTGTTTACATTCTTGTCCAAATAAAATGTTAAATCAGGGAATGCATTAGTGAAATAAACAGATTAATATTCCTAGTTCTTTAAACCTTAGAGATCAGCAGACTTTTTCTGAACATAGTTCACTTTTATCACAAGTCTTTACCTTCCTTTCTTCTGAAATGGACCCAGGGGAGGCCAAGGTTAGCATCCTTATTGTACCTTGTGTAAAGAGATGTTGTAATTCTCACAAATGGGGGAAAAAGGAGTGGGACTAAAAGCATTATGTATACATTTTATCATATAAAATCTCTTTATGTTAATACTAACTTTGTAACATTATAAAATCTTTTGAATCCTTTTTACTTTTACCCATAGAATAAAAGTTTCACAAGTCATAGAATATGTCGTAAGTTTAATGATCCAGTTTAACTTGGACAACTACTTTTATGAACTTATTCAGGGTTAGGAAGATTTCTTAGAATGACTCATAACCTCTTAGTCAAGCTCATGCCAACATCTGACATGCTTGGCCTAAGAGATGGAGAAAAGGAACCCAACATAGTTATATATGTGAATTACAAGAGATCTGGCACTGACTTTAAACAAAGATGGTTCTGCAATTATTCTTGCATGTGAGAAGTGAGACATCAGCATATTAACATCCTGGTCTGTGTCAAACAATCAGACCTATGTCCAACAAGAGACATCAATTTCTCACTGAGAAGCTTTTCAATCACCTTCGTGACCAAATTACTAACAACATTTGTGTCTTGACCTGCTGAAAACTAGACCTTTAGTGATAGTCTAGGTTAGCTGGGTGTAGTAAACTACATCGGCCAGAAGAAGGCAGTGACATTGACGCTTGTCGTGGATTTAGTTTTTTGGTTTAAGGAAGTCTAAAAGCAACCAAAAAATTGCAAGGTTCAAAATTGTGTGAGCCTGATTGGAGAGGAAGACTAAATGCATGAAAGATTGCTGAAAACAGAGGAAATGTTAGCATGCACAAAATGGACATTTGACTGTAGGATCAGGATGGATGTGCCCAGTCATCTAAAAGCTGCAGTACCCAGGTACTTCAGTGCCTGACTTGGAAAGCCCAGTTGTTGGAAAAATGGAAGATTGAGAATTTAATAAGTGTAAACAACTCTGAGATGTCTATCAGCCATTATGAGCAGTCTGCTTCCTGGTGATACTTCAAGCACCAAATGGTCCAAAGTTGGTAACACTTGGACTCTTTTATCTCCCTGTTGTTATGGGACAGCTGAGGTAAACTGGACATCTCTGTCAGCAATGGCTCTTTTAGCATTACATGGTTCTCCATTTGAAGCTAACCTTTGATTCTGTTGTCCTTCCAGCCAGCAGCCAGCCGCAGGGGTAGCATACACTCATCCCACCACTGTGGCCAGTTACACAGTTCATCAGGCACCGGTGGCAGCACACACTGTTGCAGCAGCCTATGCACCCACTGCAGCTGCCGTTGCCGTGGCAAGACCTGCGCCTGTTGCCGTGGCAGCTGCAACTGCTGCCGCTTATGGAGGATACCAGCCAACCCATACTACCAGTGATTATGGCTACCCACAACGCCAGGCGGAGGTCCCTCCACCCCCTCCGCCAGTCACCTCACAGAACTACCAGGTACCCAACACACACGTCCTCTTTCTGGGACGCCTGTGTTGTTGATGTAATGGATACTAGAGGAATAAAATTATTGAGCTTTTAAATTTACAAAATACAAGAACTGCATTTAAGTTTTATGGACTTGCATAAATGTTTTGTCTTTTATGTTTTCAGATATTCAAATACAGTAGGTTCACCCCCAGATAGGTCACTCTTCCATTGGGTTTCATTTGTCCTTTTTGAGGTTGCTTTAATGCAATCATCAGATTTTCCAAATTAGGAACTTTTTATATTCAGAGTTGGATATGGCTAACAACAACCTATTGAACATTTCTCTGGGAAGAAGAAAATAAGCAACCAGACTTAAAATTCAGATTTTCTTTGCAGGACTCTTACTCGTATGTCCGTTCCACGGCTTCAGCTGTAGCTTATGACAGTAAGCAGTACTACCAGCAGCCTTCTGTTACAGCAGCTGTTGCTGCTGCACAGCCGCAGCCCAGTGTTGCAGACTCTTACTACCAGACAGGTACGTTTTAAGATGCTCATTATGCACATTTCTCCATATCTAATGATTGTTTGAGCTTCCATTACTTTAGTTGAATCTAAGTAACGAGAACTATAGCATAGCTGGGACAGTTTCTTTCCAATCATTTTCCATATTGTAATACTCTGCAATTTGCTCTTTCTAAAAGAGAAAGCAACAGTCTCTGGTTTTAGTTTTTTACTAGCTGCACATCCATTACAAAATGTGCACAAATCTTTGTCTCTTTTCTGCCAATGTTGAAAAACACAATTTTGCAATTGTGCTTTTTCCATTAAATAAGACATGAAACTAAAATCACACATGCATAAGTTTATTTGATAAGTCATTAATAATCATAACAGCGATGAATGTAAACAGTTACATGAAATATATTCATAATTCAGCTATGGGGCTAAAGATTAAAGCTGATCTGATAATCTTGACTTCAGGTATACATTAAACTTGTATTACTTTTTTTGTGTAGCTCCCAAACCTGTATATAGTCAAGGTGTAACATCCTATACCCAGAGCCAACAGAATCGCCAAGTTACTGTCATCAAGCCAGCTGCTGCCAGTCCAGCTTCATCCACCTTCTCCATCTTCCCGGTGACCTCCACTGTTCAGCCAGTGGCAGCGGCTGCAGCCTCAGTTGTTCCCTCTTACTCCCAAAGCCCAACATACAGCACCAATGCTGTCACCTACTCTGGTAAATGATTGTCTATTTGGATTTTATGCAATTTGCCTGGGTAAAAGATGATTCTCTGACCTGGTTTTCCACAGCCATAAGACCCTAAGAAAAAGACGGTCAGAGACCGTATAGTATAGACTACTGTACTATAGCTGCACCTCATCAGGAAAACATGCAAGTGGAATATTTAATGACTGTTGCACCAATGATACTGATTCTGATTAACTTGCCTTTTCTTGTCTTATGTTTTCATTATTTTCCATCAAAACAGTTTGATTCTCCCAGTGAGGTCATCATCTCAATCACTAAAGAGGACAATGAATCTGGGTGTCAAACTCAGTGAGGGTTGATTGAAGAAGCCAAATCTAAAATCTTTGGCATGATGACAGGAAGTTATGGTGTTAAAACATAATATGCAATGGGTGTTTTTAATATCTTTGGACAATTGGAATATTTCACATACTTATTTGGATGATGACTGTAATTTGATATACTGTATGACTCTACATTCAACTTAAGGGAAATGTGTATTGTTTAAATTGACAAAGCTTTGTCGAGTGCAGTAGTTTTTGGCTTTAATACAGTGTATCACAGTGAGTATGCCCCTCACTTTTTTGAAGATATTTAATACTATCTTTTCATGGGACAATAATGACACTTGTGACACTTTGTTGCTGGTGGTTAAAACATTAACAGCTGAATATAGAGTTATTTTTGAAGGAAAATAAATGTATTTATTCTTTACAAAAATGAAGAATAAAACTATAATATGAATTGCACACAGACTACCTTTCATTGTGTCAGTGTTATTTTGTCATTGTTTCCTTTGAAAAAATATACTTGAATATCTTCAGAAATGTGAGTACGTAATACGGTACAGTGCATCAGTTTAGTGATACACTGTATATCCAGGGCATTGGAACCTGTTGGTATTAAAAAATGCAAATGCATTGGAAACCGTACTGTTTTCCAGTTTTCTTTCAGTAGCCATTTCCAATTTCAGTATAATCAAAAATGTAACTTCTTCTGGATACTAATTTAAATCAAAATCAGTGGTAACTGAGGTCTTCATCTCTCCCTACATTAGCTCATAACTTTACATAGCATCCCCTTCCCTGAGCATCCAAATAGTGAAGTGCAGCTGGAATTTTAACAATTGCAAAGATTCTAACAATAAAATCTGAAGCATGGTACTAACTGCTTCAGAGTTTGAGTAACATTACAACCCTGGCAAAGCATCTTAAAGCCAAAAACTCTAAATTATGAGTGAAGCTGCTGTATCAGCAGGTGTGAGGTACTAAACATGCTAAATGGCATAAGCCCACTTTATCGCAATTACATATTTTGCTAATATCATGCAGCCTTAGATGAGTCTGAGTAGTTTTTGAAATTATCACAACAACTGAATCTCATTTACACACTTCAAACTATGAAATCAATACAACCAACTCTTCCTGTCACCTGAATAGTTGCTGAGATAGCTAATGGACCTTACCACAGTGGCCACTGTGGCTGATGCCCATTCTACGTGGTAGCGCGGCAACCAAGTGTGTGGCCGTCTCACAAACACAAGCTAATGTACCGCCAGACTACATTGTGGACTAGCAGACTGGCAGAAAGTTTTGCATCAACAATGTAAACAGAATGGTTCTCTATTGCCAGTGGAGAATCTGTACTGGTGATGTCAGGTATCCTGATCGTATTTGTGGTAGTGAAATTCACAGATTTCCAAAATCAGAAACAAAATGCCTTGCTTGGATCAAAGCTTGTGCACGACCTCATGAGCAACCTTTGTACAATCAACAAGAACAAAGGAGTCTGTGCTGGTGTAAGTATTATTGATTTTCTTTTTTCTGTCTGAAAAAAAAAAATCAATAATAAACATTTCCATCATGAACACTTTTTAGCTAAGTACAGCATAACGGCTTGGTAAGATCCATTGGTTCTACCTCTAATTTTTATAATGATTATTAATTGTCACAATATAAATGTTTTTTTATCTTTGTGAAAGAGAACATTATATCCAAATTTACCTTCAGAATTTTTCTTACTACTGCTTTTCTGAAATTTTACCATCATGATGTTAAGAGGTAGTTTTGGTATAATAAAATGAATTTGACTTCATTGTATAACAATAGGAACAAATTGGAATGAATGTAATTGAATTAGAGTCTGTATTCTAGAATCTGAATTGATGTTATATTTTTCTGTAAATAACTGATGAATGCTTAGATGTGACATTTTAAGTGAATTTGTGCATTAAAAAAAATTGCATCCTACAGCAATTGAAAAGACTTCAAGATTTTTTTTTTTTTTACTAGGAACGTCGTACTCAGGCTATGAAGCAGCTGTGTACTCAGCAGCCTCCAGCTACTACCAGCAGCAGCAGCAGCAGAAGCAGGCAGTTGCAGCAGTGGCAGCAACAGCTGCCTGGTCAGGAAACCCTTTCCCTAAGAAACCCACATTCCAGAGTAAGCAGCTTCGACCCAAGCAGCCACCCAAACCCACTCAGATACACTACTGTGATGTCTGCAAGATCAGCTGTGCTGGCCCACAGGTAAGCTCACTGAAAACAGATTCTATGGACCTTACCACAGGGGCCGCGTTTCATTGGCTGATGCCTATTCTACGTAGTAGCTCGGCCACTACGTGTGTGGCCGTCTCACAAGCACAAGCTAATGTACATGCATTTTTGAACGCATGCTAATGTAGCGCCAGGCTACATTGCAGACCGGCAGAAAGTTTTGCATCAACAATGTAAACAGAATGGTTCTCTATTGCCAGTGGAGAATCTGTACTGGTGATGTCAGGTATCCTGATCATGATAGTGAAATTCACAGATTTCCAAAATCAGAAACAAAATGCCTTGCTTGGATCAAAGCTTGTGCAAAACTGCATGAGCAGCTCAACTTTCCTAGAACCAACAAGAAGAAAAGAGTGTGTGCTGGTGTAAGTATTTTTTTCTGTCTGAAAAAAAGCAAATCAATAATAAACACATCCATCATGAACACCTTTCAGTTAAGTGCAGCATAACCGCAGTACTGATACAACTCCTACGCCTTGACACCTGTCTCCTACACAGTCTTACGTTAGCTAAACAGATCAATTTGCAATGTGTATCTGACATACAGTAAAGATTTTATTTTAGCAGAAAATGCTTTGACTAAACTGTTACTCATGTTAGCCACTCTAGCACCAAGTACAGTGTATCAGTCTGAGGCACACTCAAACATTTGCCAACAAACAACAGGAATCAGCCACTGATTTCAAAAGTAACCCTCAAAACGATGAATTACCCAGCCTTGCAAGAAAAATAGGCATCAGTGATCTTGTCCCAGTTATAGTGGTGTGAGGGTGTGAGGATCTGCCGTTTTCCTCATCGACCGAAAGCATTTTGCTGTTCCGTGCATAATATTGGAGGCATTGCGTGGCTCAAACACCTTAAGGTCATCCAAAAAAAGATGACATGAACTTGTTAGTTCCTCTATCAATTGTTGTAGCTGATATTTGGTGAAAATCCGGCAGAGCAATAGACTCAGAAACACTCCATCAGTCCAAGTGGAAGACCCCAGGTTTACATAGAAACAAAGCCCGCGAGGCTTTGTTTGTGAGACTTGGGTCCACGTGGGATTTTCTAGGGTCGGTTGTGGGCGTAGCTTGGAAAGAAACTTTCACCGTGACTTTGCAGCACAGATTTCTTTATTCTCTTACAAGCCTCTTTTTATTCCCTTTTTGTGCTACTTACAATAATTGTCAACCTACACTAGTTCGAGGAGTGGGCTTGTGTAGCTTGAAACAGATTTGTTCTTATTTTTTTAATTTGTAGCAGTTCACTTCGGGTTCCTAAATGCCCAAGTAGAAGGCATTTAGACTTTTTAATTGTTTTTTGAATGTGTTTCACCTCTGATCCAAAAGGCTTCTTCAGTTCTGAATATGATTGGAAGTAACAGGTGTAAAATCAGAATAATAACATAATAATGACAATGATATTAGTGACTTCGATAGTCACTTATGAAGCAACTGGGAAATGGGAGTGGATGTTGGAAAATTTAATGTCATCCTCAGTCAACATCCTCTGTTTAATGTCTGAAGCACTTAGGTGGCTGAGAATCTTCTCCAGCGTTCCACTCTGGGAAGATCAGAGTTGATGAAATACTGAAGTTGATGTTTGAGTTTAGAAGACTTATTTTATTTAGAACAAAATAGTTTTTTTTTTTAAATAATTCTGTTTACGGATGTTTGAATGTCTGACTTTTGTTTATTTTCATCGAAGTTTTATTCATTATTACCTTTGTAACTTGTCGGATTCAAGTTATTTCTGTGACCATTGTGGGTTTTTCTTTCATTAACTGAGGGGTACCAGTAATTTTCTCCACCTGCTAATTCCACAAGGGATTTACTGACATTTATTGAACAAAGTGGAGAAAGTAGTACATATTAGGCCTGTCACGATAACAAATTCTGCTGAGTGATTGTTTCAAAAATTATTGTGATAAATGATCATATTATTTGAAGACCATTTTAAACTGATTTAATGGAAATGACGTGATAATGCATGTGATTTACTGCCAAAAATAGATGCACATTATTTTCAAAAGAACATTTAACACTGGAACTGAAACAAAATAAATAAAACAACCAAAAACAAAATGGATTCTCAGTCTCCATTCACAAAAAACGTAGTTGAATTAAACCTAAACAACATGAAGCCAAAGAGGAAATAAATACTGCACTCAACCAAAAGAATGCAGATCATGAAGTCTGTATACTATATTACCCTTCAGTAATCATTAGATTTAAATAGAGAAGACGGGCATATCTGACCACCTGCTGCAACAGTGTGAACTGTTGCATCTCTATTTAAACAATTTTTTGCCCCGATTTTCCCCTTAGGACGATCTTGGAATGTCGGGCATTCTCTAAGATTGTCGCTTGCGATTTCATAACCGATCATCCTGTAGAGTGTGGTGTATTTCGGTAGATCATCATGGTCGCTCCGATATAAATCAGGGGTTTTCCCCAACAGGGAGCGTTAACGCAGCCTGTTGAATGTGACAGGTAGCCAATCAGAAAGCACGGATTCTCCTCTATGGTTTCTGAGGGGAAATTACGGAGGCAAATCCCAAACAGCTGATACGGTGCAACCCAAGTCCAGCGGACATCGGTGATGATATCTGGAAACAACATGACTGCTTATTCAACATTTCGTGCAAAGAATATGTAAACGTCAAGGGGAGAAGTTGGAGCAAAATTGCTACCGCAGTTGATAAACTCGGTAACTTTTCAGCTCTTCTTCACTCGTTCAGTCAGGACTTTACGCTGACACTAGCCACATGCATTGCAGGTAGATTGTAGTGAAGCATTGATCAATGCCTGGTTTTAAAATTAGTTAACCGGACTTGTAGTCATTATTTTGTGCCCATTGTTGGACACCACACGACACAATTGAACCCAATCGAACAGTCATACCTAGGATTTCTGTCGGCTAATGTGTGGTCTCTCAAGTTTTGAAAATGGGCCGACAATGGGCAGACAGCTCTAAGATTGTGTCGTGTGCGATGGGCATTACACTAAGGAAATGAGGAAGGGAGGGTCACCGGAGTTTCTTCATTCAATGTCATCAATAGAAAGAGAAAAAGTCCGGAAGAAACGATAAAGCCGATAATTAAATAAGGTCAATAGTTTTAATTAATTTTATCATGACAGGCCTAGTAAATATAAAATTTTTGCTAATATTGTGAGTCTTGTTATTTACATTAATTGAAATTTATTGATACATTGATGAATCTCTGGTCACAACTAAAAACTTTTAACCATAAGTGCATACACCCAGTTAACAGTGCAGTCAATATGCTAATATAAATAAATAAACATTCCCAGTCATTTTCTCCATACCACCATTAGACTTATAAAGAGCATTTGGAAGGCCAGAAGCATAAGAAGAAGGAAGCAGCACTGAAAGTGTCACAGGGGAGCAGCAGCAGCACTGCAGGAGGGACGCTGGCTCGGAACGCTCAGAACCAGCTTCGCTGTGAACTTTGTGATGTTTCGTGCACTGGAGCTGACGCTTATGCCGCCCATATTCGAGGAGCCAAGCACCAGAAGGTTTGGATGTTGAGACATTAACCAACACTTTGTCTACTTCGAACTTGGAAAAGGTTTCACACAGAGCTTCATTTCAAATGCTGAATTCTTCTTGCAGGTTGTGAAAACTCCATACCAAACTTGGAAAGCCCATTCCTTCCACAGAGCCCAGTATGATCGCTCAGACATCAGCCTCAGGTGCTTCTGCTACTGGCAAGACCTCCCTTAGCAGTTCCAGCACTTCCAGCGCTTTGTGTCTGTCTTCCAACTCTTCCTCCAGCTCTAGCGCCCCCTATCTGAAAGCTGTCAACATAACCAGCAGCAGTGTGGTTACCAAGAATCCACTGGCCAGCAGTCTCTCTGTTGCCAGTTCTGCAGCACCTGGCAAGAAAGTCAACACTCCAAAGATTAATTTTGTTGGTAGGTAAACTTTCTTCATTTTGCCTTTAATGATAAAATATTTACACTTCAGGAGAACCAATGAATATATACATTCTATTTCCTTTAAAACAGTGTTTGTCAACCTTTTTTGGGCCAGTGCCCCGTTGCCATTATCCAGATCCCTCACCAACCCCCATCAAAAAATTTGTAGGATTCTTTGAAACTGAATATTATTTTATTATTAATATTAATATCACTATTGTTGATGTTTTGATTTTATGGGTTGTTTCTGTATTTATCATCAAAAATAATTTCCCAGACAGCAAAAAAATCCATGTGAATAGAAATTATTTTTACAGGTGTCTGTGAAAAATGCAATGAATGGACATTCAGGTTAAAGTAGGCAGGGTTCGGGTCCTTTTAATTCCATACAAATATGGGATAGCAATATGGATTATGTCTTCATATAGACCTGACTTTTGATTTAGATATAAATTGTTTTGCTGGACAGAAATTACAAAGAACAAGGCTGGTTCTTAATTAAATCTCAATGAGTGAACTTGAAAGTGTCATGGAGTCATCAGCCTCATGACATTAAAACTGACATGAAATAAATATATCAAATAAACTCTAATTAAAAACATAAATAAGTGATAAGGTCCTTACAGTTATTGTCTGGAAAATATATTTTTTTAGTAGATGTGGTCTCAAAAAACTCATGGCACTTTAAGAACATTATTTTACCTTTATCTGAAAATAGTGTTGTTTGTTTTGCCATACTGTCCTCTCTGTATTAATTATTGCACGAAAGGCTTTGCCATACCAGCTTTTTCCACTGTATTTACTTTAGTTTCTTAGTTTATTCTTCAATTTTGTTCTTCATCCATTTCCATTGATTACTATTATCCTCTCTTGGCTTTTTGTTATGTCCTCTTCAGTTTCTTTTCTGTTACTAGTTTTATTTTGTTGTTTTTTTATTAATGCTCACCACCAGTAAACTTGACTCATTAAGCCATTCATCTGCTGCGCCGCCTCATCATCATGCGTTTCAGATCATGGTTTTGATTTTCCACTCATATTGACTCTTCACTGTTTAGCGTCAGATTCTATGTGTTTATGTTCTGATTCACATCTAGTTTGTTGCTCCACTCTACGTCCTTGTTCTGTTTCAGAATTTTGCGCAATGTGCGCATCAGTTTTTTTCTTTGTTTGTTTTCACCCCAAACAAACAAGTAGTTGGGGAGCATGTCGATGGAGAAAAGCAGACTGATGTAAAACAACAGAAAAAAAACGTATGTACAAAAATCGTCAATAAAACATAAAATATTTGAGAATCAGACACCACACAAGTGAATCACAGCAACATCATTAGCCGGTGTAACGCTGAACTGATGTGGCGACCTAGCAGGAGCGCAGAGATGCGCCAAGAAGCTAAAAGAAACACTGAAGAGAAGAATAGCTGCATCGATACAGTTGCAGCCAAACATGTTTTAGTATTACACATACATTTTTAGCAAGTTGCTCAAAGTCTAAACTGGTATTGTTGGGCATATAACGTGAAAAGTATATCTTTGAGCAAACGTGCTCCAAAGGAATCCAAGTGCCCCGCTTTTGTAAAACTTTCCGCCAGCACCCCTGTCGTCCTCTGAACAACCCCATGGGGTGGTACGCCCCCATTGAGAAACATCCAAACTATTTGTACTATTTCTGCTGCTGGTTATTGTGGATAACCAGTCATCTATCTGACAATTTTGATTGTGTCTCTGTTGTGTTCATAGTCTGAATGGTTTAAAGAGCTGCTTTCAGTGCTATTCCATCTTAAACATGCAGTAAATAAATCGATTTTCAATCAGTGTTTTGCACCAAAGAGTTAATATTAATAAACACATTTTCACAGATACTCCGAAAGAGCTTTATGAATGAAATAAGTAATTATTGATATGACAGGAGCGCTCAGCTTTGACACCTGCTGGTGGATGTGTCAATGTGGGCGTGACATCATCAAGTATGAATTGAAGGTTACTGGCCTGCTGGCTTTGTGTGTGTGAGTCTATCAATTTAGTTTTTATCTGTGATTGTTTAAATTCCACTGGGTATATTCCTAGAACACAGATTTTGACCCCCAATGGGACTTGCAAAGGTCAGTCCTTGCAAAGTTTGAAGCTTGATAATCAAAATGGATTAAATCGATAATTGTGACAGAACAAAGAAATGGTTTGGAGTTGATTGATACATGGACAGATGAGATTCCCCAAGTACCCATTAGTAAACTAGTGGTTTACTAATGGTATTTTATAATAATAAAACCTGTTTATTATCATTAACTCTTTGGTGCAAAAAACTAATTGAAAATCGATTAATTTACTGCATGTTTATGTCTGTTAAGGTTGATATTAAACTGAACAGGAAAACAGCCCTTTAAACCATTCAGACAACCAACACAACAGACACAATCAAAACTGTCAGATGACTATTTACCCCTCGATAATTACTCAGAAATAGTCCAAAGTAGGATGTATTCTCATTTATGGCTCCCAGAGATTCTCAAAGTCCCATTGTTTACCATTGGCGGTGTATGTTAGTTTTTCCAGTCTGAGCGAATTTGCAATTTCTTTCTTCCAGAGTCCAGGGAGTCCAGCTTCATCCAGCGTAAAGCAATAGATCATCAGGCTTGGAAGAAGTCTGGAGTCTATCAATTTAGTTTTTCTGTGATTGTTTAAATTCCACTGGGTATATTCCTAGAACACAGATTTTGACCTCCAATGGGACTTTCACCTTAAACAATTCAGATAGACACCCAATAACATCCCTTTAAAACTTCTGAATCTGCTACTACTAATGTACCCACTACTACTGCTGTTTCCTCCGCTGTTAAATCCAGCGTTTTAGTTGGATCGTCACATCGCGGAATAAATGGTAAAAGCAAAGGCGAAATATTTATTTGATTAACGTTGTCTTACTGATTATCTTTTATGGGCTGTGTATGTGGTGTGCTGACATTTGCCTTCTGTCAATTGCATCCTCTCTATCAGTTTGTCTAAAAATGCATCATCAATACCAGAGTTCTGTAACTTCGGGATAAAGATTTCAAATAAATAATTCAAATAAATTATTTGAATTTCTTTCTTAGACAGGAACCCAGTTCCTCCATTATTATTATTATTATCATCATCATCATCGTCACAGTTCTTTTGTCAAACAAAAGGAACTTTTGTTTGACAAAAGTTCCTTTTTCAAACAAGCATTTAGTGCAAGTATCTGAAAAATCACTGGACATATGATGAAGCCTAACTGGTGTTATATAGGTTCTCATGAGCCATTTAAATTGCAAAAGTTTAAATCTTGTGTTTATCGTTTGTTTTTGTGCTTTTAAACAGGCCTGATTCCATTCTTCCTTATTTATATGTCCGAAAGTCTCTCTCCAAGCGTCTAACTTGTCAATTGCTGAATCCTTGGAGCAGGGGTGCCCAAAGTCGGCCACAAGGGCCGGCATCCTGCATGTTTTAGTTCTCTCCCTGGTTTAATGCACCTGGATCCAATGAAAGCTTGTTAAAAGGCCTAAGAAGAACATTGACATATTGAAAAGGTTGTTACTACCACCAGGGAGAGAACTAAAACATGCAAGATGCCGGCCCTCGAGGACTGACTTTGGGGACCACTGCCTTAGAGGAAAGCATCAACAAATTATAGAACACCGAAAGAAAACCTTCTCCTTTTTAGTCCCAACACACACCTCTTTCATTTTTGGTGGAATGTCAACTATTCGTTTCAGTTTTGATGACATTTTTTTCAACTGTAACTATTTAAAAAAAATGTTTTGAGGGTTTTAAATACTCTTCTATACAACTGATCAAATGTAAGCAACATGCCATGAGCATATAAATCTTTAAATCTGAATGCCTTTGGTTTTTCATAGTTTAAATCCTCCATAATTTTTCCCTGGGTTAAACCTTTCATTACCCCAAAGGGATAAATTGTGATAGCTCTGGGCGGTCACGCATATGTTTATGTGCTGCATGCCAAGTTATAATTGTATTTTTTAAGAAAGGGTTCTTGTGGGTTTTTTAGTGTCTTTATATCCAAAGATATAGGAAGGTGTTTAAGGAGAAATCTGGAACAGATTGCTGTTCAATGTCTATCCAGGCTGGACACCAGCCATATAATACCATCTGGGATTAGGGACTTGAAGTCCACCTCTATCATAGGGCTAATAAAGTAGCTTCAGACAGAGTCTTGCTGACAGAGTCAGAGTCTTACTCCAAATAAATTGATTAAATAGTTTAAGACTGTCATATTATGAATCTGGCAGTGGCAATGGAATTGTTTGAAAATAGTACAAACATTTGGGCAAGATTGTCATTTTTAATAAATTTATTCAGCCTATCATGGGTATAGACGAATTTAACCATCTATTTAACATTTCTGTGACTTTTTCCACAAGGAAATTATCATTTGCTGTGCTTATTTCATTGAGGGATGGGGTGATCTTAATGTCCAAGTATGTAAAACCTTTTGCAATTTTAAATGGGGTAACCACAATAAACATTAACTCTGATTTAGAATTATTAATTTTATATCCTGAAAATTCACTGAATTCTTTTATTAGATTTAGGAAATTGGGAATACAGATCTTCAAATTACTTATGAAAAATATGATGTCACCTGCAAACAAGGAAATGGAATGATCTCTTCCTCCAATTCTAATACCTGATATTCCTGTATTTGCTCTAATAGCCACCGCCAGAGGTTCTTTTGCTTCTGGTCTGGTTGACCGTTGTAAATTAAAAGGTTTTGACATGCTATTATTGGTTAATACTTGTGCTGTGGGATCAGTATGTAGTAGTCGTATCCATTTTAGAAAAATTTCACCAAGTCCATATTTGGGGAGCACTTCAAACAGATTATTCCACTCTATTCTATCAAAAACTTGATGTGCATCCAATAATAACGTCGCTGTGTCCTTACAATTATGTTTTTCATGCAATGCATTAAGAACTTGTCTTACATTATGGTAGTCTTGTCTTGTTTGAATAAGTTCTTGTTGATGATCTATTATTAATTTGGGCAGGTATTTATGTAATCTTTGACAGAGTGCTGTATACAAAATCTTTGTATCACATCCCATAAGACAGATTCCTTTATAAGAGGAATCTAGCCGTAGCGCTCACTGTTCCAGTCAGTCTTTCCTATCCTATACTATCCAGCTTGACTCTGAAATCCGACTGGAGTGACTTTAGCTCTTCCAACACGTCAGCTATGCTAGCCATATTAGCGTCCTCACCGCACGTTGGACTCGGTGTTGTTTTGGTGGCTGTCTTGTCTTGAAAAAATGTCTTACTATTTCACAGACGAAGCTTTAGACATAACAGTGTCATATCTTACTTACAGCTTTTAGAAGGATTTTAAAAGGAAAATTCGAACACTGTCCAAGGAGTTATTCACTGTGCTGCCATTGGGGATTTCGATCACGTGATCCCCAGGAAGAGGCATGAATATTTTGAGAAATGAATTGTTGAAATAGGTTGGAGAACGTCAAAGTATTTAAGAAATGAAAAATGTAGCGAGAATTTTCAGAAGTGAGAATGCATTCTTTGTAAGGCAAAGTGCTGATATTGGCTTTCATTGACGTAGTTGTGTGACGAAAACGGAGTCATTTTGTTCGCAGAGAGGCATCTTCTTCCTGAAGCCGACACCATGCCTGGGCCAAACTATTTGCACACAGCTCTGTGTAAAATGTTCTGTGATTAGTTAGAAGTTTGTTGCTGTGCTTTTTGCAGAAGTGTGCTCAGACAGCAATGTTTATTTATTTTCTACTAGTACTCTCTTCCACTATCTGGTTTTTGTATCTGCAGGAGAAATGAATTTCTTTGAGGAACTTTGATCTGACTTGTTGAGGAATTATGTACATTTGTACAGTTCTTTCCTAAATAACTCCTATAAAAATAACACTGCTGAATGTTTAATATTTGCTGGACAGAAACTGTAACATCATTGTTCAGAGAGGAGGCTGTCTGTAGAAAAGTGGCGCTTTCTCTGTGAATGTTTCATAACAGCAAAACAGAGGAAGCTGGGGGTTGGGATCCCTGGAGGTAGAGGTACACATACAGAACCGAGAGCGGTGTCACTCAAAGTGGTCTGTGACATTGTATGAAATGTTACAGACCATCAATATGAACATACCGCAGCCACATTACCGAGTGTCAACTGTTGGGCTTTGGAAGGAGCATGCCGTGTCCTCTAAGAAGAATGCGCTACATTGTCTTTCAAATGAAAAGAATCAGTGTGAAGACATTATGCATTCTCACTGATTAAAAAATAATAATGCACACTTGTCCTGCCTCCCAATTATTTGCAATAGTCCAGAAAAGATCTGACTGAGCTGGTTCAAAATGTCCTGCTTCCCAATATGTGTATCTTTCATTGTTTCAGTAAATTCATAATTTATGGAATTTCCATTTCTGACAACTCGGTATAAACATAACTAAAATAAAGAAGTGTAATTAAATAAATTTTGACAATATTTCTTATGTTTTTGCATTGTATTCACGTTTGGATATTCAATTTCATATTTGATGTTTTGTAAATTTCAGCTGGGAGTAAATTACAGACAACAGGAAAGATGGAGGAGATGAGAGAAGAAATCAAAGGCGATACTTGTAAGCCGGCCGCACCCTCTTCTGCTTCCCCAGATGCTAAGGCTGATCTCTGTGATTCTCTATCCACATCGGCACTTATTGCTTTGCAGAGTGACGTCCAGCCTGTTGGTCATGACTATGTGGAAGAAGTAGGTGTTTATAAAGAAATGCTGTAGGTTGGTTATGGATAACCAACCCGCACTTGTGGTTTTTATCTGGGTTGGCTTTGAGTAGATATTGTGAATGTTTTTTTGCAGGTCAGAAACGATGAAGGCAAAGTCATTCGCTTTCACTGCAAGCTGTGTGAATGTAGCTTCAACGATCCCAATGCAAAGGAAATGCACCTGAAAGGACGGAGGCATCGCCTCCAGTATAAGGTTGGTGGCTGGCTAACTTTGCTGCAGTGAAATTTTCCTTCAATCTGTGCAAAATCCTGGAGAATTAAATTGAACTCAATGTCTGAAGATTATTAAGGACTACAAAAGCATTGCCTATTGATAGTTTGAAACTATTTTGTTCACATCAAACAAATTACAAGAACAGTAACTTAAGTTATTGGAACAACTGAGCCATACCTCCCAAAACATTGAGTGACATGCCTGCCTCAAAGTATGGTCAGATCACAGCAGGGTTTCCACCAGAAAACTTAAGCCTGGTGGTCGGGGTGCCGAAGCAGGGCATGCGGGACGCCAAGGTCGTCCATTATGTTTTGTATTAAAAGATGTTAAGTAGACAGGAAAAGTAAAAATAGTGCAGGGTACTTGTATGTTACTGGAAAATCACGAGTTAAATGCCACCTAAACCCACAACTAGTCTTAAAAACATCAAATCAAAAAATACAATTAAAATGAATATGAATTATTTGCAGTTATGTTTAATCCAAATTAAGTCAGCTGCTCCATCAGGCCCCCCCAGGGCTTCAGGGCCCCAGGCCTGATATTTTAACACAGACCACAGATGCAAATGAAACATTTGTTTATTGAGGTTATCAGTGCTGCTAAATTTTATGTAATTGTTTCAGCATACATAACTTAAAATATTTAAAATTAACATTTAAATATAAGATTTTAAGGAGCACGCATGTTTAGTTTGTATAAGTTCAAGAACAATATTCATACTTACACTGTTTGGTTACCATAGCTCCTCTCTGATGCTATGAGTTTAATCTTTGAGTTTGAGCTCTGTTTGTTCACAAATACAAATTAGTAAACTGAAATTATAACTTGTTTCTTCTTAGGTTGGCCAATTAAACTACTCCCCCTCTTCCAGATTTTACTAAATCGAACACAGAAGTTGTTAGAGGCACTGATGTTTTTAGCAGTAAAAGGAGCTCGAGAATCAAATTCTGCTCAAGGCCTTCCACAGTCTTGGACTGGCCCTGCGTGATGAGTTAAAATCTACTGCTCTGCAAACAGGGGATTTAATTTAATGCTGCAAATCTGGCTTTAGTAGCTCTTCCATTTTGTGTCTGAGTTTTTAATAAATTACCTCGAGCAACTTAATTATTAGTTGCTCAAGGTGACATTTCACTATTAGTTTAAACATTAGTTTAAACTAACTAGTTTTTCTGATCTCCGCACAGCCGCGCACATGAACAATGGCTGACTAAGTGGACAAAGCATTTAAAATAGTTTCATGCATTGTGTAACCAGAAAAAGAAATCAGAAAAAAACAAACAAACTATAAAACCAGCATGAAGGCAAGTGCAAAAGCTCCTCACCGGGCAGAACCTGCGTGATGAGGTTAGTGCTGGTTTGTTAATCACTAATGCACCGGCCAAACGGGAACATACCTAAACTTTACAGTGAAAACAGAACCACACAGTGGGCAGTGTGTTCAGATGTAATGCCCCACATAATTTTTTGTGGGGCATTTACATTGTCACATCATTCTCACTGCTCCCTCAGCATGACCTCTGAAAGCGTGTCTAAGTTAAGCAACCAGGTAACGCGGTGGGGTTAACCCTCTCCGGGCAGGTGTTGCAGATTTGCAACAACTTAGCCAGTCTTTTCAAGTAATTTGAGCCTGAGAGGGTTAAACTCCGACCTTGATTTCTTCAAAGAGACATAATTCCACACAGGGGTTGGTTGATAAATACCCATACAGGTCAGCCTGTGTCCAGTTTGAGTGAAAGGAGGAGCGCGCGATCCGTACTGAGGTAAATTTCAGAGATCAAGCAGCGGCAGCTTGCAAGGCAAAAGGCGCCACCTGTGTGATTGGTCTGCCCTCCGGCTTGATATGCATAAACTATAAACTTATTCATAAACTATCATTTGCTCTGCCAGTGAAACGCTCTGAGCAATTCAATCCGGATTTAATTAGGAGAAAAATCTATATTTTTTCCATCATTATTAATGTTTCTAAAAACAAGCAGTGCTTGGCTGGGCAGGGGCCATGGCGAGCTGCACTGGGGGAAATTCTGCAGAACATTAAGCTTTTTTTTTTTTTTTTTATGTTTTGTAGAAGAAGGTAAATCCCGATCTGCAGGTAGAAGTCAAGCCCAGCATCCGAGCCCGAAAGATTCAGGAAGAAAAGATGAGAAACAGATGCAGAAAGAAGAGTACTGGAGAAGAAGAGAAGAAGAGGAGCGCTGGAGGATGGAAATGAGGTATGGTTTTGTTCTGCTTTGGCTGTGAAACTCACTACACGCACATCATTGTGCTTCACTTGGGTCTGAGCAACATAACCTAATGTCATGCCTAGATGTCATGACATCTTTAGTTGTTCACCTCTGTGATGATGAATGGATGATAAAACCAACCTTGAGTCAACAGAGTAACAAAATTATGACAGCCCCACAACAGCTGATCCATATCATCTGTTGTGGTATGGATCGTTTACCATATGCATCGGTAAATGCATTCCACCTCACTGGTTTGGGCAGCACCATAAGACGAGTGCTATGACGCGAGATTCTCCAGGCTGTTGCTCTATAGCACATATGTCAAAGTCAAGGCCCGCGGGCCACATCAGGCCCGCGAGAGGGTTTTACCTGGCCCCCGTGATGATATTAATCTATTATTAGATCCGGCCCGCAGATATAATGTACGCACGAATACTACATTTCCCACAATGCAACGGGGACGTGCCGAGTCGGAGCATAGCGGGAGACCTTAATTTATTCAGCAGTCATTCAGCATCAGTCATTAGCATACCAGCAAAAGTTATCTTACAGATACCCATCAATGGCAAAACGAAAGGTGGACAGTGAAAACCGGGGGTTTCAAACAAGTGGGAGTTGGAGTACATGTTCACGGAGGTAGCTGGAAAACCTGTGTGTCTTCTGTGGAGAAAGTGTGGCGGTGATGAAAGAGTTTAATATGAGACGGCATCATGAAACAAAACACAAAGACAAAAACAAGATTCTGGACATGGAACAAAGGCTACAGAAGGTCGAGGAATTAAAACGAGGCCTCAAATCTCGACAGGGTCTGTTCAGAAAAGCCCAGTCACAAAGCGAGGCTGTTGTCAAGGCCCAGTTTTATTTTAGCAGAGGAGATCGCTAAATCAGCCCGGCCATTTACAGAGGGGGATTTCATCAAAAACTGTTTGCTTAAAGTCTGTGACGAACTTTGCCCAGACAAAAGACAGCTCTTTTCAAACATCAGCCTGAGCAGAAATACTATTGCTCATCGCGTAGACCTGTTGTCTGACAATCTAAAAGAGCAGCTTGTTACAAAGGGAAAAGATTTCATCGCATATTCCCTGGCTGTGGACGAGAGCACAGACATTTCTGACATTGCCCAGCTGTCAGTTTTCATCCGCGGAGTGGACTCCAGCCTAAACGTGACAGAGGAGTTGTTAGCGCTACGTCCTATGCATGGCACAACTATGGGACATGATTTGTATGAGGAGGTCTCAAGATGTGTAAACGAGATGGAGCTGCCTTGGGAAAAACTCGTGGGTCTGACAACAGACGGAGCACCTGCGATGTGTGGACATAGGAGTGGACTGGTGGCAAAGATACGGGAGAAGACGCAGAAGGAAAACGTCACACGTGAGCTAAACAGCTTATCACTGTATCATACACCAAGGTCGTTGTGTGGTAAAGCCTTGAAAATGAAAGATGTAATGAGCACCATCACATGCGCAGTTAACTTTATTAGAGCCAAAGGGTTAAATCACCGCCAGTTTAAGTCATTTCTGAGCGAGTTAGAAACGGAGCATGGTGATTTGCCCTATCACACTGAGGTGCGGTGGCTAAGCCAGGGAAAGGTGCTGCGCAGGTGTTTCGAGCTTCATGGGGAGATTTGTTTGTTCTTGGATAGCAAAGGGAAAGACACAACACAACTCCGAGACAAAAGGTTTCTGTGTGAAATGGCTTTTCTGTGTGACATTACGAGTCACCTGAACGCAATGAACCTGCAACTGCAGGGTCGGCTCATGTCATCTCTGAAATGTACAGTACAGTGAAGGCGTTTCAAACCAAACTGACTCTGTGGGAGGCACACATGCGGAAAGAAAACTTGAGCCACTTTCCAAGCTGTCAGACCATGAAAGATGAGCTATCTACCAGTATTTTCCCGAGCACAGAATTTGCTGATAAAATTAGTATACTCGCTGCTGACTTTCGACACCGATTTGCTGACTTTGAAGCACAAAAAACAGGTTTGCACTGCTCAGCAATCCATTTGCCATTGATGTGGAAAGCTCACCGCCAAACCTCCAAATGGAGTTGATTGAGCTACAATGCGATGATGCGCTGAAGGCAAATTACAAAGCAGTGGGTGCTGCGGAGTTTGTGCGCTTCCTTCCGGACACAATGCCCCAGCTGCGCACCCAGGCTGCTCAAACGTTGTCTATGTTTGGCAGTACATACCTGTGTGAACAACTGTTTTCATTAATGAAGCTGAACAAACATCACACAGAAGTCGACTTACTGCTGAACACCTTTACTCAGTTCTGAGGATTTCCTCAGCTCAGAGCCTGACCCCGAACTTTGATGAACTTGTGCAAAAGATGAAACACCACCAAGTATCAGCCTCAGCCTCAAACAAGTAATGTAGTGTTACAATAATACAGTATATGTAAATACAGTAATAATACAGTAATGTTTACTGTGCAATTACATATTTTGAGCATGATATGTCAACTGAAACAAAAAATCTGTATTTTCTCTTCTTTCTTATGCACTTTTTGTTACTGTGCACTATTTTATTTTTATATTTGTATCATGTTCGAATAAAAATTTCATTTCATATTTGAAGTTAATACTCTGTTCAAGTTTAAAAGTTAAATATGCACACAAAGAAGGTCTTGTTTTTGGTTGTTCCCCTCAGGGATTTTAAAGCTTTCTTGTCTGTGTTGACTATGTTGTTTTTGTTTGCCGACTCCGTTCCTGGGAGTGTTTCTTGTTTTTCGGCCTTTCATGGAAAATAGATCGTGAAGTGGACAATAGTCTTTTGATAAAATTGTCTCCTATTTAACAGAGAAAATGACTTTTGATTGTTATTATTTGTTAATCAGTATTCCTTTTTTCACACTAACCCAGAGAAAGCACAGAAAGGAAAGTCAATGTACATTTGAGCAGGACAGATGCAGTCCAGTGTGTTAATTGCTATTGGTTTTAAGTAACAAGAGATTTTTGCACTTTATTTTATTGTATTTCGAGGCAATATTTCTTTAATTATTCAGTTGAGTGAATGATAGAAAATTGATTATTATTTATTTCTTTGAAGTTGCCTAAATTCAGCCCATTTTTGCTAAATGAGAGAATATACTGATGGTGCCTTAAATAATATCACTTCATACATTTAATGTTCATGTTATGAGTTTTTTATATAAAGGACATTTGTATTTTGTGCCTGCTGAAATTAAAAATGACTGACAGAGTCATAAGAAAATATTGCTTTATTTATCCAATCATATTGTAATATATTTGTTATGCTTTCAGTAGGTTAAATCTTGGTTTCAATGAAGATTGGACAGTCTGGCCCTCGGCTTGTAGCCAAATGTTTTATTTGGCCCTCCGTCCATTTGACTTTGAAACCCCTGCTCTATAGTGATGGTGCCAAATACACTGCAGTGTGATCCGATAAGTCCATATCTCCTATTGCTGGGTTGCAGATGACATGGTACCGATGTCACACAATGAAGATGGGGGGTCAAAAAGTAAAAGCAGCCTGTTTACTTCTACTGTTCCAGCTTCAAAATTCCTAAGGTCTGTGTCATGTATGGAAGTTTCCAACCATTCCAATAGAAAGATAAACTTTATTTTTGTGTTCTGAAAGTAGTTGGTCACAAGGGAGTTGATTTTAAAGACAAGACTTACAGAAAAAAGTTGGAAAAAAGACCACTTTCTAATAGGTAAGGTTCATGTTTAAATTGTATTTTCAAGTACTCTTATGTAAGGTAAGATATATTATTTTTACACCCTAGCTTGGTTGAACCATGTTTTTAATGGGGTTTCTGCACCAGTGCACAAAGCAGCATGCATCAATCATAGCTTGTAATAGGTGCACACTGTTGGCCACCGCACACTGTAGTGGTTTGATCTTTGAAGTTTACAATGGCGCAGATTGCACGCCTCACTTTTTCTTCAAAATGGACACAGGCTGCCTTGTATGGACATTTATATGAACTCCCTGTGAGGAATTATGTTTGGAAAATTCTTCATTAAGGTACAAGTCAAGTTCGAAGGCCACAACGTTGTTCTGGTTAGCTCAATGTGAAGCACATTTTATAGCCTGTAGTTGCGCTTTAAGAGGGGTGCTTTGAGCATGCAGTGAGAATGATTTATCTTTGTGAACAAAGAACTATGTGTGGTCTCTGCAGGTACATCTTACACAGCTGTCCAGGGCATGGCCATGTGTCTGTGCTGATAAAGTTTATGTGTGTGTTCCTGTTTGACCAGTGGGTTGGTTAGTGGTTAATGAACCAGCACTAATCACTCATCATGCAGGTTCAGCCCAGTGAGGAGCTTTCACGCTCACCTTGTTGGCGCTTCAAAACAACATGGAGCATCTACAGCAAAAATGCTACCACTGCAAATCTTCAAACGTACTTGCTGTTTGCTACTAAAACATTAGTTTAGTAATATGAGTGGATCCATTCGATCCTCTTAAATCATTTACTGTTTTTCGATTTCATTTTTTCCTCACGCTGGTTTTATATTATTTTATTTAATCTTTTTGTGTTCTTTTTCCGGTTACACGATGCACCAAATCATATCAAATGCCAGTCAGCCAGAGTTCATGCGCACGACCCCCCGAAAATCTAAAGATCTCGTCCAGCTTTATTGTGCGTTCACACCAATAGCGTTTTGAGTGTCAGGCGCTTCTGATTTACTTAAAAGTCTATATGGAGACAAATAGGTGCATGTAGCCACGTCAATGTCCATTGCAGCGCGATTTGAACCAAAGTTTGACGCAGCTATCGCGTACGACGAACCACATAGACTTTGAATGTAAACCTGACGCACCTAATGCTCAAAACGTGTTTGGTGTGAACAACAAACACGTTGGTGTTCACAAACGTGTTTGGTGAACAAAACATAATTTGTTTGGCAGCGGCAGGAGGAACTGTCCTACTGCTACAGGCGAAGGTCCAAAGTGTACAAAATAGCGCAAGTGCGTTTTGCCCTGCCCTGGCACATAGCTAAAATCCAGTCATCATAGAGTAAGTGTTTTGACCATTTTTGGCTGTCTGACAATTTGAGCTTGGTAAAGAAATAAACCTAAAAATTAGAGAAAGACATGGCTGATAAAAATTAAGAGTTGAGACAGATAAAAAAGACAGATATGGAGGATGACATTGTCAAGGTTTTCTTTCTTAGGAATATTCTGTCAAATATGCAGACATATTCAAGACATTCAAGTATTTCTTTAATAACTACGAAATGTATTTTGTTTGCAATAATGATCTACAGTACAGATCAAAAGTTTGGACACAACCTTCTCATTCAATGGGTTTCCTTTATTTTCATGACTATTTATAAGGTAAGAAATCTCACTTATTAACCTGACAGGACACACCTGTGAAGTGAAAACCATTTCAGGTGACGACCTCTTGAAGCTATTCAAGAGAATGCAGAGTGTGTGCAGAGCAGTGATCACAGCAAAAGGTTGCTACTTTGAAGAAACTACAATATAACACTTTTTTGTTTAGTACATATTTCCACATGTGTTAATTCATAGTTTGATGCCTTCAGTGTGAATCTACAATGTCAATAGTCATGAAAACAAAGTAAACTCATTGAATGAAAAGGTGTGTCCACCTTTATTCTGTACTGTATACGTTGACTACAGCAATCAACCGTTCAGCAGACAAATCTAAAAGAAAGCAGCGGCGCACCAATTGCAATTTTCTGATCACCGATCTTTAATAAACCGGACTTGCTGATTTATTGTGTGTGTGCATGTGTGCACAAAATATTGTAAAACAGTCATTAGCTTGGAGTGGCCATTGTAAACTGTGCACAGAGAGAATTGACCTGGTTAGCCCTCTCTCAAAGCAGAGCCATAGGAGGCAGTGGCTGATTACTGTATAGGGCCAGCACATTGGATCAAACTCAGGGGTTCACGCCCTCCCAAGTCCGGCCCTGTTTCGCATGTACGATAATACTGTGACTAAAGACTCCAATATAGTGATGTGACATTCGCGAACGAGCTGATTCTTCTGAATGGCTCTTTACTATGATAAATAGTAAAGAGCCAGTTCTCAGTGAGAACCGTTTTTTGTTTTGCTCTGCGCACTCTGCATTTGCTATTATTCTATTTTATGAACAATATATATTTATTCAATCATCAAATAAGCCTCCAATTAAAAACTAGTGGTGTCGTGGTGTGTGTGTTCTCATATACATGTACAATCTTATTTACATTACTGCTAATGTTTTCTGTTTATGACATTATCATTATATGATTCCTCAATTAATTTACACTTTTCAATTCATACTTATCTGTGCGGGCTTTATTTTCAGATTTTTGTCATTTGTATTTCCTCTATCTGCCTGCACTTTTACATGATCACTATAATTTAACTTGGTGGGGTTCGGTCTTTCAATCGTACACTTTTCTTTATTAACCTGTTGTACCTGAGTCATGGAAAATTATACTGAAGGTCATGGAGAGTCATGGAATTTTTTTTTAAATACCAGTAGTATAACCCTATATGGTAGGGATGCTTTGATCAGGCTTTTTGCTACTGATTCCGATACTAATCATGCCTGAGGCCGATCTTTACCGATCAAAGATTTGCCCACTGGGAGCTGAACGCAACCTGTTGAATGTGAGCGGTAGCCAATCAGAAAGCTGCTTTCTGAGGGGAAACACGGAGGGAATCACGAACAGCTGACACGATGCAACCCGAAGTCCTGCAGACATCGGAGATGATATGTGGAAACATGAATGTTTATTCAACATTTTGTGCAAAGAAAATATAAATGACTAGAGGAGGAGTTGGAGCGAAATTTTTTGCTTTAGGTACAAATGATGCTATGTTACCTGGCAAAATGGAAAAATGATTTAGTTATGCACGTGCGTGCGTGTGTTCTATATACATACATATGTATAGTCTGTTGCTTGCTAAGACAAGCAACAGGCTGGGTAGGTGCAGGTCATTCAGAGTAACATAGAATCACAAAAATTAACAGTTACAAGTCTCTGGCTATAAAACAATCCCCAAAGTCTCTCTCTTTCGGTAGACATATCATAAGTCTGGCTCACGTCCTCAAACTTTAATAACTCCCATTGTTAATTATTTGAGAAAATGCGGTGATTCTCTTTTTTTGCCCATCTTCTGTATTTGTGGTCTATCGATGCTTGAAGGAAACTCGGGTGGTACGCAGGCCAACTCAATACTTCTATCTGTTTGATGAGATTAAACTTTTTAGTGACTTTTGCCCACTTTTTCAAAGAGAAACCTAAACACAGAGTGTGTAATTGGTATGCCCGGGGCAGCCCAGGACAGACTGTATAGGGAAGTCCTACCAGAAAAGATAAATGTCCTTCCATTTAGCCTCACATCCTGGGTTACACCAGCACACTTGAGGTCTATGTTGGGCAGATGAAGAATTTTTTGTGGGGCTTTTATAAAGCCTAATGGTGTTTGTATTTATTTGACTGCATTCACATTCGTTCAGACAAACAACATATCATTTACAGGCGATATGAAGAAGACATGTACTGGAGACGTATGGAGGAGGAGCAGCATCACTGGGACGATCGGCGTCGGATGTCTGATGGGGGGTACATACAGGGGCCCCCGGGCCCTCCTGGTCTTCTAGGAGTCCGACCAGGTCTGCCTGGTCTGCAGCCACAAGGTCCCATGGTGGGTCTCCATAAATTGTTCTGCTTTGTATTTTACACTAAGCCACAATGCAACATTTGCTTTACTGTCCAGTTGAACCATCGGAGCAAAGTGAAATCACATAAGCGAATTTATGAAAACACAGCATCTTTCAGATTCCATCCATTTGCTTAATGAACCTCTTAAATACAAGCTCTCTGGCTGAAAGATTGCAAAAAGCGGCACATTATACAAGAAACCCCCTCACCTCCACGCAATGCACGAATCAATGGGTGACTCCAAACCAGCCCCGTGTGGCCAGCCCGATTGGAACCACAGCTCCCAGGACTCCAGGGATCAGAATGTGATTGGGGTGGAAGTGCCAACGCCAATTCTGAGTTCGAAGCCAGACCAGGCCCTGCAGTTCGAAAGGGGTTAAAATATGTTGTTTTGGAGTGGTCTAGCCAAACCCTAGAGTTGTGTGCAATTCAGTGAAGGAATATTTTCACCGAGTATGAATATGTCTTTTTGCTGAATGTTGGAGAAATATGTTTTCAAATCAAGGGTGTACTCACTCTCTCCAGGAAAATCCAAAAGCAATTAATTGTTTCAGCCCTACTTCATTGCACTTAGATGGATGAGAATAAACATTTATTTTGTCTAGCTATTTTTTTTGCAATTTAAATAACTGAATCTACTTTAAAATCTGTTCCTTTCAGCCGCCCCGTCGTCCAGATTCTTCTGATGACCGATACATCATGACCAAGCATGCAGCCATTTACCCATCTGAAGAGGAGCTCCAGTCCATTCAGAAAATCGTGTCAATTACAGAGCGAGCCCTGAAACTTGTCTCTGACATAATCACAGATCAGGAACACGACAAAGAGGACGATAAAGAGAAGAAGGAACCGGCCAAAGACAGGTGCGGCATTTGTCTTAGACACAAGTGTTGTTCTTTGTCAGCCTGTTAAGACCAGATCTCTTGGTCGACTCTTACTGTCATTGTCTAAAACTGGAGATGAGTTTTTACTCCGCACTTTCAGTGTTACTCTTAATAAATGCTCGGGTAACAGTTAAGAGCTACTTGTTTGTTTTTTTGTGCACATTTCCATTGTCCATGTTTTTTTTTCCTCAACTCTCCAGAGTCCTAAAGGGTGTGATGAGGGTTGGTGTCCTGGCTAAAGGCCTTCTGCTCCGTGGAGACAAGAATGTCAACCTCGTGCTGCTCTGCTCTGACAAGCCCACAGAAAGTCTGCTGGCCTGCATTGTGGAACACCTCCCCAAACAACTAACGGTACTCTTTATATACATGTCTCCCAAATGAGTGTGCTAAATCTTACAGAAATAATAGATTTTATTTGTAGGTGCAGTTCTCGACACTCAAGGTCACCTTACATAATCAGGGTTTTTGCACGGTAGCCAAAGGTAGTAAAAGGTAATAAATTAAATAAGCTCAAATTAAAGCCAGTGAAAGGGTAGTAAGAATTAGGTCTGTCGCAATAAACGATAAATCAATTAATCGCACGATAAAACTATCGACCTGATTTTCATTATTGTCTATATCGTTTCTTCCTGCCTTTTTCTCTTACTGTTGATGACACTGAATGAAAAAAGGCTCAACTCCGGTGCTCTCCACTGACCCTCCCTTCCTTATTTCTTAGTGTAATGCCCAGCGCGCGCTGCACAATCTTGTGTCGCGGATTGTCGGCCCATTATTAAAACCTGAGAGACCATTAGCCGACAGAAATCCTAGCTATAACGGTTCAATCGAACCGTGTGGTGTCCAACAATGGACACAAAATAATAAGTCCAGTTCACTAATTTTGAAACCAGGCATTAATCAATTCCTTACTACAATCTTCCTGCAATGCATGTAGCTAGTGTCAGTCCTGACTGAATGAAAATCATTATAACCTATTTAGGGTCATGTTAACGAAGAACAGCTGAAAGGTTACCGGGTTTTCTGCTAGAAATTTCGCTCCAACTTCTCCCGTAGTTATTTATATTTTCTTTGCATAAAATGTTGTTTCCGATGTCTGCTGGGCTTCGGGTTGCATCGTGTCAGCTGTTCGTGATTCCCTCAGTGTTTCCCCTCAGAAAGCAGCTTTCTGATTGGCTACCGGTCACATTCAACAGGCTGCGTTAAGCTCTCAGTCTGGGCAAATCTTTGATTTAGATCGGAGCGGCCACAACGATCTATCGTAACACACAAGTGACAATCTCAGATCGAATAACGTTCTAAGATTGTCGTTCGGGGTAAAAAAATCCTGTAGTTTGAACTATTGCATCAGGCAGTCGGATGTCTTCTCTATTTAAATGTGATGATTACTGAAGGGCAATATACTATACAGACTTCATAATCTGCACTCTTGGTTGAATACAGCCTTTATTTCCACTTTGGCTTTATGTTGTTTAGTTTTTATTCAAGTACATTTATTGTTAATTGAGACTGAGAATCTATTTCATTTTTGGTTTTGGTTGTTTTATTTATGTTGTGTATCAGTCCCAGTGTTAAGTGTCTTTTGAAAGTAAAGTGTATCTATCTTTGGCAGGAAATCGCATGTATAATTACGTAATTTCCATTAAATCAATGTAAAAAGGTCTTCAAAATATTATCGTTTATCGCAATGATTTTTGAGACAATTTATCGCCCAGCAAAATCTGCTATCGTGTCAGGCCTAGTAAGAATGCAGGCCTGTAACTAAAGGTAGTAGAAAGTAGTACATTTTTAATCATCCCTTCAAAATATTTTTAATTTTCCATTGATGCTCACTTACTGTTTCAGTTCATTTTACTAAAATCTGTATAAATTATAACTAGCGTACTGGCAGGACTTGAGCTGTCACTGATAGACTCCAAGCTGTGCTTATGCATACTGTTGAGACGAGCTAGTCATTTTGTGCTTCGCCATAGGAAAATTTTAGTTTTCACAATTTTGGCTTGATGATCCGAGATTCAAAGACTTGAAATGACCAAAAGACATTTTGTAAAGTCCGCCAGTCCAAACTGGAAATGTATGACGAGGCCTGTCGCAATGAACAGTAAATCAATTAATCGCACAATAAATTGAAACTATTGACCTTATTTAATTATCGGCTTTATCGTTTCTTCCGGACTTTTTCTCTTTATTGATGACATTGAATGAAGAAAACTCCGGTGACCCTCCCTTCCTCATTTCCTTAGTGTAATGCCCATCGCACACGACACAATCTTAGAGCTGTCTGCCCATTGTCGGCCCATTTTCAAAACTTGAGAGACCACACATTAGCCGACAGAAATCCTAGGTATGACTGTTCGATTGGGTTCAATTGTGTCGTGTGGTGTCCAACAATGGGCACAAAATAATGACTACAAGTCCGGTTAACTAATTTTAAAACCAGGCATTGATCAATGCTTCACTACAATCTACCTGCAATGCATGTGGCTAGTGTCAGCGTAAAGTCCTGACTGAACGAGTGAAGAAGAGCTGAAAAGTTACCGAGTTTATCAACTGCGGTAGCAATTTTGCTCCAACTTCTCCCCTTGACGTTTACATATTCTTTGCACGAAATGTTGAATAAGCAGTCATGTTGTTTCCAGATATCATCACCGATGTCCGCTGGACTTGGGTTGCACCGTATCAGCTGTTTGGGATTTGCCTCCGTAATTTCCCCTCAGAAACCATAGAGGAGAATCCGTGCTTTCTGATTGGCTACCTGTCACATTCAACAGGCTGCGTTAACGCTCCCTGTTGGGGAAAACCCCTGATTTATATCGGAGCGACCATGATGATCTACCGAAATACACCACACTCTACAGGATGATCGGTTATGAAATCGCAAGCGACAATCTTAGAGAATGCCCGACATTCCAAGATCGTCCTAAGGGGAAAATCGGGGCAAAAAATTGTTTAAATAGAGATGCAACAGTTCACACTGTTGCATCAGGTGGTCAGATATGCCCGTCTTCTCTATTTAAATCTAATGATTACTGAAGGGTAATATAGTATACAGACTTCATGATCTGCATTCTTTTGGTTGAGTGCAGTATTTATTTCCTCTTTGGCTTCATGTTGTTTAGGTTTAATTCAACTACGTTTTTTGTGAATGGAGACTGAGAATCCATTTTGTTTGGTTGTTTTATTTATTTTGTTTCAGTTCCAGTGTTAAATGTTCTTTTGAAAATAATGTGCATCTATTTTTGGCAGTAAATCACATGCATTATCATTTCCATTAAATCAGTTTAAAATGGTCTTCAAATAATATGATCATTTATCACAATAATTTTTGAAACAATCGCTCAGCAGAATTTGTTATCGTAACAGGCCTATGTATGACCTTTCTTCACCTCTAAAGAGCTCAATAGAACTGAATTGTAATTTGACTCAACTGTGCTGTGTAGGTCATTCCATCACCTATATCTCCTTACCACAGCAGCTGACCTACACCTGATTTTTTTTTTAATGCTTCATGAGGGAGCACTAGTGGACAGGTGCAGGAACAGCACGAGGTAGTGATCAGGTAGTGTTGCTGAAACTGCTGTTAGACTGTTATATCTCCTACACAAAAAATTCACTGAGGAACCAACCTAATTGATTAATCATCATCGGGTGCCCTACAATACCCCATGGTCAAATGATGACATCACTTAAGCCGTGCTCACTGAGAACAGTAAGTGTCATGGTTTACTATGAATGCGCTGCCTTTTGTAAATTAAGCTGGACCAGCAAGGTTTTGAAAATCACACTAGAACTCCCCCTGGCGGATATTTTCTAACATTTTTTGGTGACGCTAAAAAAGAAAATAGAGATCCAGTATGGTGGAACGTAACACCAAAGAGTTCGTAAAATTAAGCGGATTACCTTGATATGTTGTGTTTCTGATAAGATTTGTTTGTAAGTATTGTTTAATAGTAAAAATAATAGTCGCTTTGTTTTGTGTAACGGTGGTTGAATAATTTGTACGTTTGTCATTTCTGAAAATTTTTTTATGTTTCTTTTTAAGCTCTCAATTAGCATGGCTAATTTGTAATGTTCGTTAGCTAATACTAAGCCTTGTAGATTACATTTTACAATGGCCAAAGTGAAGAAAGAAGTTTGAAAAATTTACGGCGAGGACAACATAAAAAAACATCAAAGTGGGTCACAACCACAAGGGAATATTCAGCACATCAGTCATGAGCCTGTAGTCAGATAAAGCAGATGACATGGAGAGCAAGGATAATGCAAGCAATACAGACAAGTTCTAAGTCTATAAACACGTACATCCAAACTTCCGTCCACTAGTTCCACAGCATTAAAAGGACAAGCAAAGCGGAGGCTGCACGTGCACAGCTGACATAATCAGAAAAAGAAGCAGACATAATGAAGCAGAAAAGTGAACTTGCATATTTTGAGTTATCAGAAGGCTGATGCAGCTGCACAAGCAGAAGTTGCAGTTCATGAAGAGGAGGATTTCTAAAAAATTGAACAGGACTATCGATCAGTGGGACTATCTGCCAGCCCAAAACAGCGTAGTGCGCAGTGTGTTCTAAAACATACAAGCCTGTTTTTTTTATTTTCCCTTGAAGACAGTCCTACAACGTTCTGCAGTGTGTGGTGTGTTGAATATGCCAATTTAAAATCTGGCATATTCAACATTGTGTTAGCCTGATTATCGCAGCCTGTGGGGTTTTCCCTGTCTGGGATCGAGAACGCAGCCTGTTGAATGTGATCCCAAACAGTAGCAGCTGAGAGTTGCCATGTCAATCTGCATCTACCAATTTGGGCTAGATGCAGGTTGGTAAAAATTAAATATAATATAATTCTTTTAACTCTTCTTCTTGTGAAGACAGAACAAAGTAGCAATGGAAAAAATCAATTCAAAAGCTTTTCATTATATTTTATTAGTTGAGAACAATATTTTACACGCAAAAATTCTCATTCAGGGAGAAAGGGTTTTATTTTTTGGATAATCATGTTTCACTGGTAACAGAAATGTGTAAATGCATTATAAGGTGGTAAATATTTATTTAGATAAGAATTTTATAATTTATAATGTTAGCTCATTATTTCAAACATTTCCTAGGTAAATTTGGGAAATAGCTGAATTTTATTTTATGGAATAACCATGAATACATATTTTCTGTATTGACAGAATGTGTTACAATTGGTAGACTGCTACTTAAAGAAAAACTTACAGTAAAAAAAAAAAGAAGCAAAAAACGGCAGTGTTTAGAATGACTGCCACAATATTCTAGTCAGGGTTAGAGCGGTTTTTAACCCTCGTCCCCTAAATCAGTGGTTCCCAACCCCCGGGCCACGGACCAATTGGTACCAGGCCGCGCAAGAAATAATTAAATATTTCCGTTTTATTTTGAAACTCCTTTAACCGGATTCTCTCGGTTACATATTGTACAACAACTAAGCCCACAAGCAGCAAAATGAGCAAGAAACAAATTGCATGTCTTTGGAAAGTTTTTTTGCGAAGGGAAAAGGCCCAGAGAAGAGACGGGAGAATGGATTTATCCCAGACCGGTTGGTGATTCCCACATTCCAAGCTGCTCTGCATGATACGGCGACCGGCTGTTAGTGAAGCAATGAAGCTTCAAACTGCTTCTCCACGTAGAGACCAAGCACCCTGTGCACAAGCATAAGCTTCAGGTCATTGTCTCTCACATGGGACTGTCTCCTAGCAGAGAAACAAGCTCAGGGCTCCCATTGATTGTTATTAGTTGTTTTTGTGGCGCATATGTGTCTTATTTTGAAGGGATATGTAAACGTTACCATAGCAACCAGAGTCAGAGCACATTAGGGCAGGGGTCGATATGAGATGAGAGGAGTGGAGCTTGTGAGTTTTAGGTCTGGTTCACACGATGTAACGATTATCAGCCGATTTTCCAAAGTCCAACAGGTTTGATGGGTTCGTGTGTCCAGCCACACGGCAGGAGCAACACCACAAGAACCAATTCCACTCAGACATCCCCATTCCAGAAGAAAATCCGCTAAAACCTCCAACATACCATATGTGAATTTATAGTTTGTGGACTCATTTTGAATGATAAAAGATGTAACAAAAAGACAAGGCGTGTTGGCTGCACATCGATGGCTTTAGATTTAGTTTCCGAGTTGACCAGTCAGAAACATTCCAGAAAGAATACAGGCATGTCAAAAGGAGCTCAAGTCACTCTCTGGATATTATTGGCTCGGAAAAAGCCATTTCATAACATTACTGGTCGAATACTTTGTCAATCAAAAAGGGGGTAATAATGGTTTTAATTAATACTATTTGCGCCATTTGAACTTCAGGGTCTTTGCAGACATTGCCTGAACTTGGCTCCGGTTACCATTTTAGCACTTTTTACGGATTACCGTTGTTCAGAATTCCCAACAATTCCCTGCCACAATCAGAATCAGCAGGTCAGATTGTTTAAAGGTCAATGACTGGGCAAAACACTGCAGTCTGTGCACCTGTAGATGTAAACCCTGGCTCCTATGATCATAACAGCTGCTTAGCTGTTGTGTGTTCACAGAGAAAAACTTTGATGGACAGTTACCTGTCCCACCAATCGAGCTAAGAATTGAACCCCAGCACCGCATATAGTCATAACCACTGGTTACCACAATTACAGGGAAACTACATATGAATATGATATGCTATAATCTGGAGCAAAACCAGCTGGCCAGAATGTAATTTTTTTTTTGTGCATTTAGTGTCTGTTTACGTCTACACCTTTCACTTTGTCCCTGCAGCTAGTAACGCCAGACAAATATGAGGTCAAGGGATCGATGGAGGAAGCGGCTATCTTCCTAACATCTTGCATCGAGCCGAAGATGCAAGTGACAATCACTTTAACTTCACCGGTCATCAGAGAGGAGCCGGGCCGGGAAGGAGGTTGGGAAACTCATCACAAACTTGCCATTGCACTTTTTTCTGGTCTTTCTGTTCTCTCTATGCAAACAGTTTCGGTATGTTGGTTGATATTCACAAAGAGCATTGTTCTGCTGGCACTACTCAAAGATTCACATGTTGGATCAATTTCCTTCCTTCTTTAGACTTTCTTTTTTTATTTGGATTGTGAGAGCTCTTTCTTCTTTGGGACAGCTTGTTTTCCCTCTTTGTTCTTTAAACGGATCATTTTTTTCAATGACATGCATGACCTCTATTACTGGTCTGAAGTTAAGAGCCTCTGAGAGATCCATGACTTGGTTAATTTACCTGTAGTCCCATTGTGATTTTATGGGTCACGTTAGCTTGTTTATCAAATGGAAAGTGCCAGCAGTGTTGCTCTTCTATCTTCTGCTCTGTGATTCCTACCTCTCAAATGCTTTCTTTTATCCTTGGAACAAAGCATGATCAGTGTTTGCCTTGTGTTAAGTCTAGTTATTCCAAGGTGAGATTCTATTTTGTTTCCTGTGTTCCAGGGGATTGTTTCCATGTGTATGTTGGCTATACTCAATGGAAGACATGATTACATCTTTTCCCTATATTTAGTTTGAGATCAGTTTAAGATATTTTTTTCTTGACAAAGAAGTAGACAAGCTGAATTTGTTCAAATGCTGCAGTGAAACCAGAATTGTGTAAGAGCAGAGGAAATTGATGTAATTTTCCCACAGGAAACAAATCTTCTTTTTGTGTGCTGGTGAATGGTTCACCATGCTTACGTCCCCTGTTCTGAAGTGCTCCCCTGAGTTGACCTCTTTTTATTCCAAACACTCAAATTTGAGATTGATTCCTCTCTAAGACAACTCTTTGCCATTTCAGATTCAACTGGCAATAAAAGATAAGGATAAATGATTTAACACAATTCAATTCAAATATAGAAATTGATCAAGCCAAGGAGTGGAAAATGTATTGTTTTTCATTATTCTTAGGGGAGTATTGTATAAAGTTCAGGAAAGAAGGTTTCTGTAGAGGAATCTATGGTTGCATCGGAGCGCAAGCTTTAATGACCGCTGGGGTCTTATTCCAGCCTACTGATGTTAGGTATGCATGCAGTGATATCTAACCCCTTTGTTTTTGGCTAATCGTCATTGTTCTTCTTTGGCAACCATTGCTTCCTCCTTTTTTAAATTTTGTAGTTATACACAGTTTTGCATAATATTGAATTATTCTTCATAAACACACCACAACCACCCACAGAGGATTGTGTCCTAGTGAATCTCATATGGCCCAACAGTCTCGGAAGGATTTTTGACCAAGGTTTTCTCACATCCCAAAAACTTTGCCACACCTGCTATTCCCATGCCACTTTTTATCAGGTCATTCTTTTTAGCGCTTTCTTAGTGTTAAATTTTTCAGTTCATATAACTGATTGGTAGACATTCAAACCTTAACTGTGAATAAATACTATTCACAAAAAAAGTTATATTGAAGTTTCAGATTTTTACCTGATAAAATGGTTTTGGCCTAAATAGTTCTTATTCAAACCTCTCCAGTTTTTTTACTAAACACATAAGTGAGTTTGTTGAATCAGTAATTGCATACCCATTTGAAAATTAGTTGAAGGACACAGCCAGCTGCCATCAGCTTTGTTCCTCGGCAGGGTAATTTTTTTTGTTAGACTGTATTTATTTTTTAAATTACTAAGGGCAGAATAAGTATAAAGTTTTGTTAGAAAGAAACATTGGTATGTGTGGCAATGTGTTTGTTCTATGCCAGCCTCGCTGACCTGGTCAAACACCCATTCCTCATCATCGTTTTGACACTTGAAATCCATTTTTAGATGTAACCTCGGGTATGGTGAAAGACCCAGCGGACGTCTTGGACAGGCAAAAATGCCTTGACGCTCTGGCTGCTCTGCGCCACGCTAAGTGGTTCCAGGTTCGGAACATCATTTTACTTTCTCATTGTAGCCTTATGAGATGTATTTTTTAAATTTTTAAAACCTTTTTTTCTTTTTGTTTTTTTGATAAACAGGACAGTTCATATTTGAACCAAAAAAAAAGCATATTCAAGGATGCCAGTCTGATCATCTGATTTATGTTCTTTGTATATATTATAAATCTCAGCCCATCTGAGTCCTTCATATAAAACTTGAATAATCCCGTTGAATTGGCATCCTTGTATTATTTTCAACATTTTTCGACTACTACATAAAATTCCATAAGGCTGCAACATAACTTGCACAAATGCCTTTATGTCCAACGTTTGTATATTCATTCTTAACTTTTTATAGAATAGGGATTGAGAGAAAAGTGAACATCTGAGTACTTTCCTGTGATTTTGCTAACTGAGCAAATAACACAGGCAAAGAAACTGATTTATTTGCCTCTTTCAGTCCCTATACTCTTCTCTCAGGTGGACTGTTGTACTTCTCAGTCCCTGTTTGTGAGAAACTACAATCAGTATGGGGTCAGGGTTTAGAAGATGGCAAGAAAAGTCCTAATTCTTGTGCATCTTGTAAACTCACAACTCCTTTACTAACTGTGAGGAACAAGACTACTGGGAATGGCAGCTAAATGCAAATGTTTGGCTTAAATACATCAAACTGTGTTAAAGCTTCCATTATGCACAGTAGTGATTGGACCTCTATAATGTAACTGATTCACTTGTTTGGTCCATTTATCTCTTGCCAATCTTGGTCACGCCATAAACCTAACTGTATTGCCTCAAAAGGCTAGAGCCAATGGTCTTCAGTCCTGCGTGATCATCATCCGAATCCTGAGAGACCTTTGTCAGCGAGTCCCCACATGGTCACCTTTCCCAGGATGGGTAAGTTCACAATATTGCTGATTTATACGCTTAACTCATTTAGTTGTTGTTGTTTTTTTTTTTTTTGTTTGTTTGTTTTTTGTCTAGTTTGTAATTTCTTTGTTTTTCTTCATTATCATAATTCAGCATCTGAAGGTCCCAGTAGGTTTTGCTGATAAATGTGGCTTAAATATTCAGATTTCACTTCGTGGAAACTCCTTATATTGCCCTTGTTTTTTTGCTGTATATTGCATTTTCCCCAATTAACATTTATCATGATAATAATATAACATAACTATTCAAAATATTCTCCAGTCTTATTTGCTTCTGGTGATATTAAAATCACTATTGCATTTTCTTCTAATTTAAAGTGTAACTAATCACCAAATTATTATTTTTTGCTGAAAAACTGCCTAAATAGGTGTGATGGAGACCTGGGATTCCATCACTAATAAATGATTATTGCTGTTACGTAAAATTTATTTTCAGAAAATTGCTTTTGTTTCAGTTCTTTATTTCAGTTACGTTGTGACATTTAGTTAAATATTCTTTCAGGCAGGGGGACTGACCATCCTTCCTGTACAGGGAGAATGTGTCCCTGTACAGAATGTCAGTTTTCAATTTGAGGTTAATTGATTGAGCCTTACCTTTTCAGGTGTTTCTTCAGCAGCAAAAGCTCCAGGTGCTGCTAAAAAGCCTCTGGATCATACCATTTTCAGTTAGGAGTGGTAATACAATGAGGAGTTATATTAAGTTAAATTTATTCTTTGATTGATCTTGGTTTTGAAACTAAGATTAAGACTAAAACTAACAGAGGGTGGTGTTGGTGCAGCCAGTGGTGAAGTGAAGCCAGTTGAGTTGATTGTGAAATGCAGCACATAAGTCCAGGAGAATCAGGATGGAGAGAGAATCAGCATCAGATGATATCAGGTATTCTCGTGCTGTGAGTGGGATGAAAATTCGACTGAATATTATTGAGGTTTAGATCATTTTGAAGGTGGATGGAAACTGCTTTTGGTTATGAGGGGCTGATTGGAGATGAGACTGTAATTGGAAAGGACTTCTGGGTCAAAAGTGGGGCTTATATAGCTTGGTAAAAACTAGCCCCTCGTCCTCCATGATTTGTTTCATCCAGTGTTTATTGAAAAATGATACATCCTGGAGGATTAAGTGTTGAAGTTTTAAATTTCACCCAGTTGCTAATGACAGATGAAATGGGCTGTTAGACAGTATGAATTTTACAGCAAGCTATCCACAACTGTCTCCCACTGTGAAGAGAGAAGAGCAAATCTGAACAAGGCTTCAGTTAATTATTTATTACAACCCAACACAGACTGAAGAGCTTCATTCACTTCCTTTTTGAGCAGAATTGTACAGGATTGCAATGGCCAGCCTAAGTATTATGAGGATAATTGTTTTTAAATCACAGAATCTAAAGAAAACCAACACTTGCATGATTTAAAACGATGGACTACTGTGTTTTCATTCTATGTACACAAAAGCTGTTAATAAGAAATATTTCACACAGACTGATATAAATTCCACAACATTTCAGAGTCGTATTGTTTCTGTCTGTAGTAATCAGGTCAAACGCTGGTGCCATCTTGTCTTGTAATGAGGGTAAGTCAAAACATGAACAATTCAAGCTGAGCACACAGAAGGGGAGGATGTTGTGAGAGTTTCAGCGAAGACTTGAGCGACTTATGTGCAGTTTTGGAGGAAGAGGCTGTACGGTACAGAGGGATTATCAGTTGACGTCACCCAGCATCATCACCCAGTGTATTGTGTAGTCTGCCTGTAGAAGGAAAGCAACAATATTGTATTCTACTATTTACAATTGGGCAAAGAAAACTATTTCCAACTCTGAGCCTGCACAGACCATGCAGCGTGGGGCTATCTGATATAGACGTCAGGTTTTATTTTTAGTACAGTATTGCACTGCCTCTCATTCAGGCTGCTGCACTTTTAGTTTCTGATGACTTAGTTCAATATATGCAACATTTTTATGACAGAAGGTTACTTGATTGTACTATAGAGTGGAATCATGAGCCCTATATAATATTGTCCCTTTAAAGGTGCCAGTGAGTCCTACATTGTTTAGATGTTCTTCAGTGGATCAGTCTTCAATAAGCTCTTAGATTCTATTTGGTAGACTGACCTCTGCTTGGAACGTTCTTCACTGTTTAATCTTTATTCCCTGTGTAATGGTGCATACTGTGATTTTGTCAATTTCAATTCAATTTATTTTTTTTCATGGGGCCTATTCACAATAAATGTAGTAGACTATGCCCAGAAATCTACAGATTCCAACTGGATTGCTTTTATTTCAATTGGATCCTAGTTATTAAATAATGCAGTAAAATTCAGTTTATTATGCTAAAAAGTTGAAGGAAACGTTGCCCATTGCATGCAGTTGCTGACTGGCAGCTTTCACTGCCACAGGGGCCAATTGCGGACAGGAGGCCCTCCACAAAAATGTTTTGTAATTTCTTCATAGAAATAGAAAAAAGTTGGTCCCTTATTAATTACAAAATAATGTGTTTTTAAAATTGTTTTTATCAGTAAAAAATAAATGTCACAACTCTCAGACCAAAAAGCACACATCCAATTTGCATTGAACCCCTTGGACCTTCATGAAATGGTTCGTTCCTGACGCTGACGATGGTGGACAGCAGTCAGTAGAAGTCAAGAAAGACTATGGCAGTTACTGTGCCTCCAACAAAAAGTAATAAAGTCAGGTACACAAAAAAGAGAGCGCGAAAAAGACAAGAGTGACAATTTGCAGTGCAGTTTTTCTTCGAGAGATGGTTCGACCATTTAGCAGCTAGCTTAGTTACAAACTGTTTGCTTCCATTTCACTAGCATTTAAAGAACAAAGTTAAAAAAAAATCTACCAACATATTCAAATATTTAAGTTGTCCCTGTACTCTTTACCACACTTAAGAACAGATGAGTCAGACAGCAGCAGCTCTAAGCCCCATATCAGAATAATCCCTCCCTGTCCCAGTGAAAATGGTGAGCAACACTGTGTTCAGTGACAACCTAGTTAGCATCATTCCAGGGAGTCTATGCATATTTTCCTATCTCACTGCTCTTTTTACCATTACACAACAAAGCAATATATTTATTAGTGACAGAAATTCAAATAATCTTTATAAATTATAATGACAAACAGCCTCTTGTGAGTCCAGATAGTTCTGCCGTAGCTTGCATTTAAATGACAGATATCTGTTGCCACGTCCCTCCTGACCCATCCACTCTTAAGTGAAATTGAAGCTATAGGATATACTTTTATTAACAAAAGGCACATATGTGTTAAGACTGCCAATATGTTGAGAGATTATCTGAAAATAATTTATTTCCTCTGCCTTCTCCCAGTGCTCTACCCTACCTAGAAACAATCAGAGGCATGAGGGGGGTTTTAGCGCTGTAAATCTCAATATTTAACCGTCAGTAGTAGGTCAGGGAGGAGATGCAGGAAATGAATCTTTTCACAGATTATCTGTCTCATAACAAATTCATGACAAGAAAGCAAGGCAGTTGCATGCCTTTAAAATTGTGCTGCTTTTTATGGGTCAAATAGACTCAAGAAATTGTAACAGCAGAGCTGCCCAATTACATTTTTTGTCATGGGGCCCAAGTTTTCTAGCCACGGCTGAGTACTTTCTATTTTAATTCAACAAACACACATTCTCCTTCGAATCCCATAAGTTGTTTTTATTGTTGTCTTCACGCAGGCAATGGAACTGCTGGTTGAGAAGGCCATAAAACAGCGCCTCAGCTCCTCTCGGCCCTGGTGATGCACTGAGACGTGTCTTTGAATGCATTTCTTCTGGAATTTTACTTCCTGGTGAGATGTCCTTGAATGTTTTCTGCAGTTCTGCAGGTGTGACGACTTCAGTGTTTTTTATGTGGGAGTCAAGGGAAGAGCTACATGGAACATTTCAGAGAAAATTTCTGTTAATTAAAACAACATGCATATTTGAGATCAATTTTATTGATCAGGTTTGATTAATTTATATCTTATCCAGTCAACTCCCTGAGTCCAGTGGACCCTGTTTCTTAATCCTCCCACCTCCTGCAGCCTTAGAGCAATGCTTAGGAAAAATGGCAGATGTCACGGTCGGTCAAGGCAGGATTTTATGCAGGCATCCATTAAAGTTATTGTTTATTTAAATTGTTTTACCCTGTGCACTGTCCAGCAGGATCATGCTGTGTGCTTATACAAGTTTTTTTTTTTTTCTTTGTGGTTTCACCCCAACCCACAGTGCTTCCTCGCTGTCTCATTGTGGTATTTGCTGTGCTCCTCCTGAGCATCATGCTAAGGGTACAAGAACTGCACTGGACTCAGCGAGCTTTACACTGTGCGCATCGTGACGGGGTCCCACTGACCTTGCATGTGCCTTTAGCCCTCACTTTCCCACTGTGTGACAGTGACATCTGCCTTGCTCCTCCTGGCATCATGCTAGGATCCTGGGAGGTTAAACCCGACACATGTCCAGATATTTAACGTTTTTACACCTGCTTTTTTAATGAGCTTTGTCACGGTGCTCCCTGCTTGCTCTGTTTTGGTGACAGCTGGTTACATCAACAAGAATTACCGCTTTTAGCCAGTAGACTGAAGATCTCAATCATAGGAACATTTTCTATTATTTCTACCATATACTGGGTGTATCGCACATTCTTATTGCGATATGAATTTTATGCCACGTTGCACATCCCTAGTTGCTCCTATGCACAATGGGCATATTAACAAAAAGAGCCGGTCCAATTGGAGTTTTATTGACCTTGTGCTCATAAATGTAGGATTTCTTGCAGCAACACAACTGGTTTCGTGTCCCTGTGCAGGTGGACCAGGGTTGTTAGATCCGTGTGAGAAGAAGCCTGTGGATACCCTCACTGCCATGGGAGAGCAGCAGAGAGAGGACATAACCTCCAGTGCTCAGGTACATTCATTCTGATAGTTTGCTTCAGATATTTGGCTCTTTGAATATTCATTTTTATCATACGGTTGTAAATACTGATACTAAATAATGACAATAGATTCTAGTATTTGCCTTAATGAGCTGCTCTAATTTCATCACGTGAAATACCAGTGATTTATAAATGATTTAATTCTTTCTAAATGACAGGTTGTCCCTTTTTTCCAACTGATACGAGACAGACTGAAGCAAAGTTAGGCATTTATACTGCATTCCAAAACAAATCCCTGTTCCTCTTTAATACATTTTCACTTGAAATAATCAGTTCTGCTGTAAATTAGATTGTTAGAGAATTGATTTAGAGAAGTTCTGAAATGTTTATGTAACAGTAAGACTACACCTCCCAGGAAACTTCCATTTAGCTTTTACCTACTGGAGGAGTTAAGTCATGTAAAGCTGCAGTAGAGTTTGAAAACAGAAACAATCAACTTCACTTTCCTCAGAAGTAAAGAAGTGAATCAGCAACATTGTTAAACTGCAGCACAGGCCTCAGGTCAGACTTAAAACACATTAACTGTTTACTTTGACTCGTCGTCTCTCTTTCCAAACCCTGATGGAGCGACATTTGTTTGAACACATTGTCATTGTTTTGCAGTTTGCTCTTAGGCTTCTGGCGTTCCGTCAAATTCACAAAGTTCTGGGTATGGATCCCTTACCGCAGATGAACCCTCGGTTCAACGTTCGCAACAGCCGAAAACGCCGTCATGACAACAGCGATGGAACAGACAGCTTTGAAGGGGAAGGCAAAAAAGACAAAAAAGATTTTGATAATTAAAGTTTTTCTGTTGTCACTTAAGTGAAACCCTAGAAAAATGTCCTAGAACTGTTGTTCGCCTGTTTCGTGTGTGCTGTTTTTTTTTCTCCCTACAAAACAGTGTATCTGAACCAAACTCTGTATTACCAACACAAACGTTAAGCTCTGTTCTTTCAGTTGTAGATTTTCAGAATGCTGGTGCTTGGCAAAGTAAACGAGCTGCTGTGCTTGTTGTGTAGAAACATTGAAGGACCGTAGGTCTGCTGCTCTCACCTCACCTGACGACATGAGCCGAAGCTCAAAGGATCACTGTATCCACGTTTGGACCATCAGCTCAGAGGAGTACTGACTGTCAATGACTTTATTCATCTGTATAGTTCTATCCAGAGTTATGTGTTGTTGCTATTGTGACACAGATGGGCCAATTGAAAGTTTTTCTAAATGAATAACTCATCTAAATGCAAGTGTTGTTTAATGCTGGTCTTGTTATGTTTCAGTGCTTAACATCACTTAAAAGTACCAACAAAGCAGTGCATACCAGAATTTTAGCTCTTCATTTATCTTTGTAGTTAGTGGAATTGTTGTTTGATTTTTGCATATGTATCTGAGAGTATTTCTAATCTATTAATAGAAAAAATAGCTTTAATTTTGTGATTTTTCTTTTCTTAAAGGAACGAACATTTCACATCCTATACTGTCTGTTTTTATATTAGGTTTTTAGTTAAATGCAACATTAATGGCTTGCCTCTCAATTGTTAGAAGCTGAATTATTTCAAGGCAAGAAATATGATTAGAGCGCATGACTGGTTGTGGAAGCAGTGATGACGTAAACGCCCTCCATCATGGCTTCTTTTGTGAATGTTTGCTGTATCTTGTTCTGCCCAGTTCAAGTGGCAGAATAAAAGCATTTTTAGATGGCTGAATATTTGTAATAAGCTATTTTTTCTTGTTTCCTTTTCTAGTTTTCATTTTTGACTAATCAATCATATGAAGGGGGTTCAGGTGTTCAGGGATACTAACCTAATGCAACTTGGGCAGTAATTGGCTTATTCTCCAGATTTTTATTTAACCAATTGAGCTTTTTAAACTATATTAGAAATACATGAAAATATACTTTTGTTTTTTTGTTCAATCACATATGCATTCCAGTTGATCCTTGTAATTAAGCAGTACAATAAGCTCAGTTATTCAAAGTATTTTAAAATATTCCCCAGGAAACCCAACAGATTGCATCAAGTCAATAATGTAGTCACAGCAGAAAATGTAATGTTATTGTCTAATAGCATTCCTTTAATAAACTCTTGATCATTTTAGGAAAGGTTGCATTTTCAGCTAAAATATCCTAATGTGAAAAGCTCAGTCCTTTCTGCTTCACTCAACATTAGTACAGTGTAGAACTGATGTGTTGCTCATTCTGGGGCAGAAAAGACTTGCTGGAGCATTCTGTAGCACATCTAGGCTGCAGTAATGTGTCTGCTCCTCAGGCTGTCAACCACATTACAGAGGTGATGAAAGGCATCATCAACCTTTCATCACCAGGATGCTGGTGAGAGATGGCATTCTCTTCACCATATTTTACAGTGGAACATCCTTTATGAGTTTGTTGAGTGTTTGAGTCCCTCACCTTCATTGGAGCACTCAGAACATCACTGCACTGAAGATGGAACTTAATGACAGATGAAACATGAAGAGCATCCTACTGCAGATATTAAAAGGATCCAGGATTAGTTAAACATATTGGCCTAAATATGTTGCAATTTTCCTTTTACCTCGAATATTGCTGCTTGTGATACACCAAAACTCATTATTACTTCCAAGATTTTCATCTTTTGTTATATTTATCACTCATGGAGGTTGCCATTTCTTTACTGATGGGTTGATGGTGCATAATGGTCCATTATGTACTGGAATCTACAGAGTAAACTCAGGAAGGCTAGTTTTACCTGAGAAGTTCATCATATTGCGTTTGGTGGAAAAGTATTTCTCAACCATTTTTGGGCCAGCGGCCCCCTGTCCATTATCCAGGCCCCTCAACAAGCCCCATCGAAAACTTTGTAGACGTTTTTGCACTAAATATTATTATAATTCTACCATCACTGTTATTGTTTTGATTTTTATGGTTGTTTCTGTATTTATCATCCAAAATAATTTCCCAGAGAACAAAAAGTCCATGTGAATAGAAATTTGTTTTACAGGCATCTGAAAAATTCAATGAATGGACATTCAAGATAAAATCAGTAGGCTTAACAGCAGCCAGAGTGGAAAAAAACTATTCTTGTTCTGTGCCATTTTCTGATGTTAAATATTTCACAAAATGACCAGATAAAAGATACACAGCAATGTCAGTTAAAACTTTAAACCATTTGCAAAAAACTGTGCTCTGCAACATTAAGACAGGGATAGAACTGCAACCAAATCAATTCTAACTCTTCAGTGTTTCTGTGAGTTTCTTGTGCTGCAGCTCTGTGCTGCAGCTCTGTGCTGCTTTCAGGAGAATGGGACATCAGAGAGTCATCCTTAAAATTTTACCCACGTGACATTTACTGTGAAAACCAGAGCTTTCAGTGGAAAAACAAATGTTCTAGATCCTTTTAGTTCCATACAAATATGGATATGGATTATATGTTTATATAGGCCTGACTATTGATTCATAGTTAGAGGTTGCTCGGTCATTTCGACCCAGGACACGCTGGAGGGACTATGTGTCCGGGCTGGCCTGGGGACACCTTGGGATTCCCCGGAGAAGTCTGGGCTGCTACCCCCGTGAACTTACCCTGGATAAGTGGGTAGGTGGATGGATGGACGGATGAATGATTCATTCATTCATTCATTTATTGGACAGAAATTACAAAGAACAAGGCTGGTTCTTAATTAAATCTCAATGAGTGAACTTGAAAGTGTCATGGAGTCATCAGCCTCATGACATTAAAACTGACATGAAATAAATATATCAAATAAACTCTAAAAACATAAATAAGTGATAAGGTCCTTACAGTTATTGTCTGGAAAATATATATTTTTTTAGTAGATGTGGTCTCAAAAACTCATGGCACTTTAAGAACATTATTTTACCTTTTATCTGAAATAGTGTTTGTTTGTTTTTGCCATACTGTCCTCTCTGTATTAATTATTGCACGAAAGGCTTTGCCATACCAGCTTTTTCCACTGTATTTACTTTAGTTTCTTAGTTTATTCTTCAATTTTGTTCTTCATCCATTTCCATTGATTACTATTATCCTCTCTTGGCTTTTTGTTATGTCCTCTTCAGTTTCTTTTCTGTTACTAGTTTTATTTTGTTGTTTTTTTTATTAATGCTCACCACCAGTAAACTTGACTCATTAAGCCATTCATCTGCTGCGCCGCCTCATCATCATGCGTTTCAGATCATGGTTTGATTTTCCACTCATATTGACTCTTCACTGTTTAGCGTCAGATTCTATGTGTTTATGTTCTGATTCACATCTAGTTTGTTGCTCCACTCTACGTCCTTGTTCTGTTTCAGAATTTTGCGCAATGTGCGCATCATTTTTTTTTTCTTTGTTTGTTTTCACCCCAAACAAACAAGTAGTTGGGGAGCATGAAAGCTATCATAGCTATCATATGATATGCTATGATAGTTATCATAGCTATGATAGTTATCATAGCTATGATAGCAAAGATCGCTATCATTAGTAAAGCAACTTATATAGTCATGTCACGGTTGTAACATTCAGTTGAATCGAAGCAATAACAAAGTTGTAAAATAAATAAATGAGGTCTTCTGATGCTGTTTTGTGTTATTTTAAAAGCCAAGAGAATCACTCTTTCTCCAACCTGTCTCATTTAAGCCTGATAAAAGTCAGGCACCAAATACAGTTTTCCAACACGAAGTATGTATTTATCATTTTTCATTGCTGATATAAGAGGATGGAAGCTACTGATAGCAGGGCACAAAAATGAAGACTTCCTGACAGGATGAGAGTGTAGACTTTCTGGTAAATTCCGTTCTAATGTAAAATATGACAGATTACTAGATTAAGGAAATTTGTAGTATTTGTAAGCTATCACCTAACCTAATATTTGAGTCGCCTGAAATAATCCGTTCCCCCTCCATAACATGGGAACAAATTGATTTACCAGTGTTGAACTTAGAGGAATAAAATTACTTAGCTCGTTAATTTTCTTCTAATCTGCCGGATCCAGGGACTCCGCATGCACAGTGGAAATCACAGAGAACAACCATTCAACATCTAACTTCAGACATATCTAGTTTTATCCAGACAATTCAATGCATACAGAATGTCACATCAGCATTAAATCCAGATTATCAAGAAGTCCAAACACATGACAAAACAGACATTTACCTGCAACGAGTTGGAAAGGAAAACACAATAGGAGAGACACAAGAATGCATTTTTGAAACTGGAGGGACCGATTGATATAAAACCCCACTGATTTGACTGATAACATATTTTTTAAATAGGTTTTAGTGTTTAGTCTAGAATCTTGAGGGCCACATAAAAAGCTATGGCAGGCCAGATTTGGCCCATGGACCTTGAGTTTGACACATGTGCACTAGTGGGTCTTTGTCATTTTATGAGGGTAATAACTGTTACTGGTAAGCTGCCTCTATTCAGTCTTCAAACATTTGTAAGAGTAAGGGAGAAAGTTCTGTAAAAGCAAAATTTCCATAAAATTCTATTGTGAACCCATCTAAACCTGATGCTTTATTTGCTATGATGTTTTTTATTTCATTTATTATCTCTTCCTGTAAAAGTGAAGCTTCCAAAGATTGAATCTGTGCTTCTGAAAGAGTTAGGAAATCTAACTGATTGACAGAGAAAACTGTCAATCTCCTGAGCGCTTGCCTGCAGTTTTTAATAGTTTTTAGAAATTGTAGGGCTTGGTTCTGTCTTAAAGGACACTTCCACTATAGCAACCTGTTTCTCCAGAGCTAGCCATCCGGCATGTTGTATAAGACACCTCTGATGTATGCTTTTATGATGTAGAGCTTTCCACACTATATCAGCAGATGGACCTGCTGGTGATTAGAGACGGGACATTAGTCTCTATAAATAAGTTCATTTGACTCTTAAGGAGTTCAGAAAGTCATTGTCCTGCAGCTTGAATTTAGCCTCCATCCCATGACAAAAAATTTAATTGGGCCTCACCATGTTACAATTTCTTGAATTTATCAGGCCCATCAAAACATCACAATTTTAAAAACTTGCAACTGCCTTGCTTTCTTTGGTCCAAGACTGATAACTAGTACAATATTTACTGCTCATGAATTTTACATCCAATGGTCCACATACAGTATGCAAGTCGGTTGCTTACATTTTTTGTTAGTTTTAGATTACTGAAATGTCTCTCCCCAGGAGCAACAGTCATAGGCAACGTGCAAAATATACATGAAGCAATCCAGACTTCTCACAAAATGCTATGTAGTTGCATTTCAATCTGGAGAGACTCAGACTGAGAGAGAGGAAGACAATTAGAAGAGTTTATTGACATACAAAATTAAAGTCTTTGGCGCTCAGGCCCTAGCTGAGGACATCGATTATCGCAAAACTTTTTGCGATAAACTCGGATGAGCATTCCGATGCTGATAGGAACGTCATCCCCCAGGGACCCGGCACTAGTGGTGGAGGTTGGCTGGGCGAGTGGAGGGGGGGAGATGGTGGGTTGAGCTCTGCTGGAAAGCGGAAGATGCCATGGATGGAGGTCCTTATCAGCTGGGACTTGGACGGTGATTGGACGTGACGTGTCTTGGACCAGCGTTGATTGGTCGACGGTGATGAGCAGGATGCACCAATTGGAAGATTCAGGTGGGACTAGGAAGACTCTTCCAGTTTGAATTTGCGCCTAGGCTTCATTTTATTCAAGCTGTAGTACATAACTTTAATAAAAAAAAAAAAAAATGCTTTCTCTATATTTGTTAAAGCTATCATCACCATGTTAGATAATCTGTGAAAGCATTCAATCTCCTCCACTTCGTCCCTGAGTTGCTATCACTGGTTAAAGCAATGCAACGTTCCAGCCAAAAACAGCCAATTAGAACCAGGAGGACGCTCTTAGTGCTGTCAATCAACTCATTTACTCACTACTAAATATGCTAATGGGGGAGAAACACCTTATTACAGGAAAGATGTTTATCTGCTGTCATTACCTGACTATAGAATGTAAAAAAATAATAAGAATTGCTTAAGTATTTGATGTATTGGTGCTAGCTACAGCATAGGGATGAGCAGCCACATGAGGTTGTGATTGACAGCACTAAAACTCTCCTGCCACTGACTGGTTGTTTCTAGATAGCATTGGGATAAGGCAGAGGAATTA